ACTCTTTCTGTATCTGTGAATAATCAGTAATCTTTTTTAATCTAATCCTATCGTCATTTTCTCAACTCCTACCTATTTAACGACATAACTATTATTCAAAAATATTTTCCGATCTCATTTTTGGGGTTTCCTTAAAATGGATTTTGTAGGAAACTGTAAAAAGTTCGTCAAGACATTTACTTCTAAATTTTTAAAAATATAATATTTGATATATTGTATTTACTTTTTGACTTAATATTTTATCTAGACTTTCACATTTTTCTACGTCTAAGTTCATCGAAGCAAAAGATCTCTTGAATAAATCTCTTGCTTATATCTCTTGCTTATAACTCTTGCAAAAGATCTCTTGCAAAAGATCACTTGCAAAAGATCTCTTGCTAAAATCTCTTGCTTAAATCTCTTGCTTATATCTCTTGCTTATATCTCTTGCTTATATCTCTTGCTTATATCTCTTGCTTATATCTCTTGCTTATATCTCTTGCTTATATCTCTTGCAAAAGATCTCTTGCTTACAAAATAGCAAAATTTGGATATGGTGGCTGTGGTTTTTTAGCGTTTTTCAATTTTCGAAGGAATTTCAAATTCACCTGACGTGATCTCGAGATAAAAAACGGCAAGGCTCCCTATGACTTAATGTTTGATATAGACTTTGACATTTTTCTACGTTTAAGTTCATCGAAGCAAAAGATCTCTTGCTTTTTGTGTCAATTTGAATTTCCGGTCTCCATCCATCTGTTGGAAAGTAAATTCGCAAAGAAAAAACTCTTGTGCTTTCGAAATTTGCACAATTTTATTTTCAAATGAGTTTAGTATGGTTTCTCCATAAGAATTTCGTTCTTTGTGCTTTCGCATGATCACTTGCCTTTTGGCACAAAACTTGGGTAATTAAACCGGCTAAAGGGTCTTTCCAGCCGCGCCTATCCCAGACCAGTATGCCAGATGCCGACTCTTCCTACGGGCGACATGGAAAGAACGCACATCCAGAGTCATAATCTAACTTTGATGGTGTTTTTTGTTCGAAAGAATAAATTTCACCAAATTCTTTCCTATTTTGCCAAAAGCTGAGAGCCGAGGGTTTTTTGAAAGAAAACAAAAAAGGCTCAAAAAAGGCTCAAAAAAGGGGGAATCAGGGTGAAATTGCCTCTCGAATTTCCCCGTTCCTTTTCTTTGCAAAGAATCCATCCATATTTTTACGGGCGATCTCTTTTTTTTTCCTTTCGGCGGTCAGGAAATTTATGCAAATTTTCGGGATTTCATTAGTTTTTGACGAAATTTTTCTCCGAAAGTCTGAGCACTCGTTTATTCGTTTATTTATAAGTTTATGAGGGAATACTCATAGTCAAATGAACAGTTTCATTTCAAAAACTAATATCACATATTTTCTTGATTATTCCAGTAAAAAGGCATCTTCATTGATGCGCCAGAAAGCGCACGTTTCCGTGATAGCACAATGAGCATTCATCCATTCATCCATTCAATCAGTCTTCATTTCTCTTTTACTCAAACTACAATAGCTTTATAAAATATTCATTTAGATCTAGAATATAGGCAGAAAAACGAGAAAAAGAGAAAATGATGATTTCATTCGGGGAAATGTTAAAATTTCAGGTGTCTTTTAGTTAGAAAAATAGTAGAAAAGCTGCAGATGGGGGAATTTTGTGATTTGGGGATTTTTGACGTGAATTCAAATGAAAACAGGTGAAATTATTGATATTGAAAGGGGAAATGGATCAAATCTACAATTAATTAGTGAATAGGATACGGTAATTGGAAAGGTGAATGGGATAAAGGGGAGAGGGGAGGGAAGGGGAGAGGATTGTTTAACAGCATTGTTCTACTTTCTTTGATATCAGTTTCATATCATTCATATCAAAAGTTTCAATTAGAACTTTTATAACAAATAGAATAAATAAATGCTGTTAAAAGCTTTGTATCTTTATTTCTCAGTTGGTTGATCCTGAATCTTGCAATATTGCAATAATACAAGAAATCAAGTGATGCTGGAAACTTTGATCCATGGGAGCCTTTGATCCATGGGAGCCTTTGATCCATGGGAGCCTTTGATCCATGGGAGCCTTTGATCCATGGGAGCCTTTGATCCATGGGAGCCTTTGATCCATGGGAGCTCCTTAAAAACTACATAAACATTCTACTTCTACAAGTCTTCTACCAAAATGAAACCCCACTTTATTAAAGTAATCAAATTTTCATTAAAGTAATTCAAATTTTACTTCTACAAGTCTTCTACTTCTACAAGTCCTCTACTTCTACAAGTCCTCTACTTCTACTTCTACAAGTCTTCTACTTCTACAAGTCCTCTACTTCTACAAGTCCTCTACTTCTACTTCTACAAGTCTTCTACTTCTACAAGTCCTCTACTTCTACAAGTCCTCTACTTTTAGTTATTCGAGAAGTCTTCATACTTCTACAAGTCCTCGATTCAAAAACAAAGTCCTTACTTTGACAAAGCTTTGACAAGTCTTCTATTTCTACTATCTACAAGATCTTATACTCCTACAAGTCCTGTATTCCTATGAGTGCTTCTAACTTTTACAAGCTTCTAGTTCTACAAGCCCTCTAATATCCCTAAAAATCCCCTAACCATTTCTAGCTTCTTTTTAAAATCTTCTACTTTACAAGTCCTCTACTTCTACAAGTCCTCTACTTCTACTTCTACAAGTCTTCTACTTCTACTTCTACAAGTCTTCTACTTCTACAAGTCCTCTACTTCTACAAGTCCTCTACTTCTACAAGTCTTCTACTTCTACAAGTCCTCTACTTCTACAAGTCCTCTACTTCTACAAGTCCTCTACTTCTACTTCTACAAGTCTTCTACTAAAATGAAACCCCACTTTATTAAAGTAATCAAATTTTCTTGAAAAATTCTATCAAAAATTGAACTCTCATTTTGTACTGTTATTTTTTTCTGTCAAAAGTTCTCTACAAAATAGCCAAATTTGGATATGTGGGGGCTGTAGTTTTTTAGCGTTTTTCAATTTTCAAAGGAATTTCAAATTCACCTGGCGTGATCTCGAGATAAAAATCGGTGAGACTCCCTCAATCATCAGAAATTTCAGAAATTTTGCAGAGATTCTCGTGAATAATTTGCATCTTGGTTATTCATATCTTTATCGTTTAGATGATCTTTGCTTTGAGACTTGAATGTTTTTTGTGTTTTGTTTTGTTTTCTGTTTCTAAATCTGATGTTTTCTAAAATGTAATCTTAATCTTTCCCTAGCTTTTGTTCAATCCAACCAATCTGTAAAGGAACTTTAAAGGAACTATAAAGGAGCTATAAAAGAACTTTAAAGGAACCATAAGGGAACTTTAAAGAACTTTAAAGGAACTATAAAGGAGCTATAAAGGAATTATAAAGGAATTATAAAGGAGCTATAAAACCAATCTTCATTTCGAAGTATCTTTTCGGAACATTTTTTGCTCTTTGATTTCTCGTTTTATTTCAAAATCCCACTCGTCATTGGTCACAGTGCAAGAAGAAAAAAAAGAATCTGACCATTGGGTTCATTGAGTGAAAAATTTATCGTTTGAATTGGGGGAAATTTATTGGAAAAAGGGGAATCTCGAGGGAGACACAATAATGGGAAGAACAGCCTACTCATTTACACAAAAACAAATACAAGATTCTCATTATTTTATTTCTTTGCAAAAGACTCGTCTTGTTTTTGTAAATCCTTTTGATCTTTGAGTTTCTTAAAACCCGAAAACGTCCATTTCTTTTCAAAATTTACTACTAATCTTCACCGGATATTGAAAGGAATTATTTGATTCTTTGATTTAAATAAGAATTATTCCAAGAATAGTGCACGTGTTTTGTTATTTCCAATTCGGAACACAAAGGGCTGTTCTTTGATTTTTGAGTCAATTGGTACTATCCTGGGATATCCTCCAGATCAAGAAACTCATCTGATATCCTCCAGATCAAGATTATCTCACTAACTACTGTCTTTTGCACAGTTCAACCTTTTATCGACTTTATTAGATTCGGTTTAACCTTCCAACTTACGGTGATTAAAATAAGGATCATTTAGAAAAACATTTGCTGAAAGTAGCTACAAATTATGTCATTGAAAAGCAACATCTTGTCTCCGCTGATGTCAATTCTTTCTTCAATATCTAAAGATCGAATTGTTGTCTACCTCGAACCTCAAACCTCGAACCTCGAACCTTTACCTCGAAGCAATTCGTATTCATTCTCTTCCATCGAAAGATATATTTCCCTTTCTTTCCGATAAATTTCTGGTTAATTTTTGATCTCTCTTGAGGGCGACAAAAAATAAGAAAAGAAAAATGAAAGATTTTCCATAAATTTTCGGGTGTTCATGAGTCAAAAGCCATTGAAAAAAACAGAATCGGAAACTAAATGTCAATTCTTTCTTCAATATCTAAAGATCGAATTGTTGTCTACCTCGAACCTCAAACCTCGAACCTTTACCTCGATTTGCTTAGATTTGTTTGTCAAGATTAGATACCTCTACCTCGAACCTCAAACCTCAAACCTCGAACCTCGAACCTTTACCTCGAGTATTTGTTTAGATTTTGAAGAAATTCTGCTTGAAAACGTCAAAAGAGCGACATTGTAGATTTTTTATGGAAAGATTAGACTTGTTTTGTATTTTTTTCGATGAATAGGGGTAACTTTTGGTTCCTTGTCTGAACGGGAAACATTTGAGAGGACGACAAAAACGAGAGACGGAATTGAACCCGTGTTGTGCGATCGAGAGATAACCATTCCACCCAAAGCACCATGTAAACCAAAAGATATTCTGTCATGCTAGCTGAATACCTTTTAATTCATTGGGAGTGGTAGTAAGGTAAAATATTGTAACTTCACAGTAAAGCCTAGCTATTACCATCTTCTATTTTTTTCTGTTTCTTTCAATCTTCAAATTTTATCATCAACCTTTTTCTATATTCTTTCTATATTCTTTCTAGATTTTTTTCTCTATTCTCATCTCAATTTCCAATAATTTTCAGATAAAATGGAATGCGGCGATCCTCCATTATTCAATCCGCACGACAATTTGACGAACGCCGTCCTTGATTCGCTTTTCGTTTTCGATCGGTACGTGGTTTAACTGAGAATATAGTTTTAGAATAGTTCTAGAATAGCTCTAGAATAGTTCTAGAATAGCTCTAGAATAATTCTAGAATAGTTCTAGAGTAGTTCTAGAATAGTTCTAGAATAATTCTAGAATAGTTCTAGAATAGTTCTAGAATATCAATCGATTCATTAAACATCATTAAACAAGGTACAGATCCAAGATATTCTATTATACCAATAGCTTTATCATTGCCTATTTTCAGTGGCTACAAGCAAATCCACCGCTATTTGGCCGTTTTCCTTTGCGTTTTCGGTCTTCTCTTCAATTCGGTTCACATTTGGGTCCTCAGACAGTAAGTCTTTGAAAAATATTTAATATCCAATACCTAAAAGTATCTAAAATCCAATGTTACCTTATTGCAGACCTCGTCTTCGTTCAACGTCTGTCCATACAGTCCTCGTAGGGATCGCTTGTTCGGATATCGGTACAATGGTCAGCTATTTGGTGAGTAAAATAAAATCTAGTTTACAGCAAATTATAAAATTTCTCTAGAATATATGCAAATTTTGAAGATGACAAAAACAAATTCAGATCTACATCACTCGTTACGAGTTTTTCAAGCAAAACGATGGTTATGCCTATGTGTGGAGCATCTTTTTGCAGGTGAGATTGGCAATCGAATATTGGGTTGGGCTTAGGCTTAGCATTTTGAGCGTACAGTCGCGTAGGCGTTAACTGTTAACTGTTTTACTGATGATTTGGTAAAACTTCAAAGATAAGCTAAAATTGAAAATATTGGGTTCGTGAATTGAAAACTGCGGGACTTTGAAGTAAAATTTATTCAACATAAAACCGTTTCCATTATTATTTGATGACTTCTTCCATTTTACAGGCAATTTACGGATTCCTCTTTCGTAGTTGGATTTTGTGACACACTGTGCTCAAACTGTGACCTATGACATGGATTGATGAATTGAAAACTGCCAGCTATTGTCAGTTGACAATAGCCGGCAGTTTTCAATTCACCAATCCAATAGTCTACAAGTCTGACATAGATAAAATGTTTTCTTTCAGCTGCATGCTTTGATCTCAATCGCTTGTCATGCGATCACTCTCTATTTGGTCGTTTTAATGGCATTTATTCGATGGAGAGTAATGATCAATCCGGGAAGTGGATGGATGAGAACACAAAGAGCTTGGTTAGTTTAAATGGGGAAAGGGGACAGAAGGTAGTCAGGAAAGGGAACAGAAGGTAGTCAGGAAAGGATGTACAGTGGCTAAAAGTACTGTAGCTAAGTCTTCTATTATCTTTTAAAACTAATAAAACAGCCAACAAGTTCTTATTTTGCAGCTTCGGCTCAATTCTGATCGCTTTCTGGGTTGTCGTGCTGTGTATTCCGACTTTCCTCGCCCATCAGATCAAATCCTACGAGCCAATGGATGAAGAACAAGAAATATTATATAAGTAAGTGACTTGAATGGCTAAAATAGCTAAACTTGAATAGCTAAACTATAAGTATTATTAAAGTAAATTAAAAAAATCTATTTTCAGTGTTGGTTTCTCCGATATGATGCTAACAAATGGTTGTTTTTTGATGAAAGCAAATCTCTGGTTGACTGGGATTTTTCTAAAGGTTTTTTTTGAATCTGAATGTTTATAGATTTAAAGAAATATTGATTTTATAACATCGAAACTTTAGGCAATCCCATGTTTCCTTTTGTTCTGGTTGACAGCTGGTTTGCTTCATCAAATGAAGGTGAATCGAGAGAAAAGAAAGCTCATCTTGCACGTGAAAGAAGACGAAAAACAAAGGAGAAGAGGTATGCAAAATCGATAAGAGATAATCGATATACATTTTAATATAGAATTTAACAACATATCTTTTTAGGAGATCAAACCACTTATATGCTTTTATTGATGGTTTCTGTTTTTCTCTTCACCGAATTACCTCAGGGTTTCATTGCTATATTTTATGGTGGGTTTTTTTGAAAGAATAGTAAATTTTAAATGCTAATTTTAAAGCTGACTATCTATTTTCAAATCTAATATCTAAATTTTAGCCTTATACACAAAAGAATTCTATTTAAATGTTTATATGCCGATCGCTGACCTCTTGGATTTATTGAGGTGAGTTTTTTGAGTTGAAAATGGATCAAAACTGTCGAAATTGGATTAAAACTGTCGAAATCTAATCAATCCAATAGTTTATCATGATTATTCTCTCTGATTTCAGCCTTGTCAACTGCTATGTGGCCTTTTTGGTGTACGTTTGTACTTGCTCTCGTTATCGACAAACACTTCTCACCATTTTGCCGAATGTTGAACGGTTCGTTGAAAGCGATAATGAAAGCGATAATGTTTTTTTTTCACAATCAGTACTCAGAATTAGCTTTGGATTCAATTTAGGCTTAAATTTATAATATCATTGTAAAGAAATATTGTTCGCGTGCTTGGTACTCTTCACTCTTCACACGTTATTTCCTGTTTCGAGATATCTGATCTCACTTGAACTAAAAATACTTTATTCAATAGCCGATTGACTCGAAATCTTTGGGCTCTCACTTAAGCAATTTTCACACAAGATCGACAATTGAATTCAAAGCGACGATAAAAAAACAGAAACAATTTCGTCCTAATTAGGACACAACTTTCACACAAATGAGAGGAAAGCAGAAAGAAAAATGAAAGATAACAAAAAACAAAATGAACAACAGTTGCCAACAGTTGCTTTAACACAAGATACTCAGCTAACAAGCTACAAAACAATAATTTGATTTGGGGCGCGAAATAGAATGAAGGCGCACCGATTTCCTCAATATTTTTCCAATTTTTAGGCTGCCAGATTTAGGTAACTTTTTAGTGGCTATTCGCCACAATCATACCCATTATCACTTTGGCACAATCATAACCATTATCAACTTTGGCTTCAGAATTGTCTCCACAATCACCACTCGACAGAACACGATTGTTGGTGGAAGTGGAGTGAAGAGGGAATCCGCACCGAATTGGGCAAAGGTTTGTCTAACAATTCTAATTTATCTATTAGACTATCTTCTATAGACTTTAAATATTTCAATCAAGATAATGAAGATAATATTCTATTAATCATCTATTATCTAATAGAATAAATCTCAATCCTTTTCTTTCTATAGACTTCAGAAACTTTGCTAGAAAATCCAGGTAAAGTCAAGTTGCGTCGTTGATTTTATTTTATAAATCGTTGTTTATCTGTTGTCTAATAAAAAAACAGATTTTAGATATTAAATATTACAAATACTCTCCACATTTAATTTCAATTTCCTTTTTTAAACTCTAGATTTTCAGGTGATCCCACAGAACCCTCGTCGATACAGCCGGAGTCAAGAGATTCGCACCGAGGCCACCCAATTGATGAATGGAAACGAGAATTATGATACTTATCTTTGAATTCATTTCAATATTGAATCAACTTCGATGCTCTTCTTGTTCTTCTTGTTCTTCTTGTTCTTCTTGTTCTTCTTGTTCTTCTTGTTCTTCTTGTTCTTCTTGTTTTCCATTTGCCATTTGCCATTTGCCAAAATCCTTTTCCAATTCCCCATGAACGTTCAGTGCCAAGAAAAGACTGCCTCATTTTCTCAAAAAAGGAAATCCATCGCCAATATAAAATTGCCGTTTTCTTACGTGTATTCAGTGCTTTATTTATGCTAATTATTTCGTACTATTCTGAAATTCAAATTCGAATTCAATTCAATTCGTGGAATTCTGGAATTCGATTCACAAAATGTTCGCTTTTCTCTTCTTTTTTTTCACATTTTTTCTTTTTTCAATACGGGCTTCGGTGTTCTGTGATCTCTTTTTGTTTAAAATTTCATATGAATGGATAATAGATTTATAGTTTTTAAGAAAAGAAATTATAAAAAACATGAAAAAAGGGACGGAAATCATGAAAAATCCCGTAGTCTTCTCGAGTGATGAGGCTGAAAAAGAAAGTTTTCAAGGAAAAGTACAAATTCGTTTGGATAAAGTAAACCCAAGTAAACCAATCTCTGCAAAACATGATAAACTAGCAAAATTGCATAGTAAAGTAAACTAGAAATAGAAGACAGTAAACTAGAAATTAAATGTTATTGGCAGAAGTTGGCAGAATCACCTCGCTGTTCCTTCGAATCCTCAAAGCCTTACCATTTCAGTGGGGAAGGTTGGTGGTTGTAAAGGGATTGATCTCTCATCGTTGTCCTCGATTTCATCCTAAAAATGAAACGATGAATTTGGCATTTTACTCTCATAAAAGAAGACTTTTATATCTAATTAATGTGAATGTAAATCACGAGGACGTAGTAGCTGTCTTTCGTAGCTGTAGTAGCTGTCCGAAAGAGACTTCTTTAACTCACCCCAGAATTTTTCTCACTCCTCTCATAGATTTTCTGCTCGTTTTTGGCTCGACCTCTAGAAATTGATTGATTGATTCAATAAAATATAAGATATTCAGTAATCAATACTTATAATATTTTTGTATGCAGAAAAACCTAAAAGTTGCTCCCATTTTGTGTTTCACTTTTCCCTCATGAGCAACTTGAAGCTCGGTGTCCTGAATCGAAAGCCGGGGTTCTTCCTGGAAAATTTCATGAATGGTAAGGTGAATAGATTAATTATTTAATTAAATATCCAATTAAATATCCAATAATCAAATCAAATTACATTACTGGACAATAAAATATCATATTTGAAAAAAGATCGTCACTTTCGCGCGTCTGTAACTCCCTTGTCTTTATCGTATTTCTAAATATTAATATTACCATTGTGTAGCCCTTGAAAAGAGCTTTCAGAAAATGCATAACACTAATAGTTTAAACTCAAAGACAACGGAATTACAGACGCGTGAAAGTGACGATCGTTTTTCAAATATCATATTTCATTGTCCAGTACTGTATATAATCATAAAAGCTAGATTTATTTTAAATTCACTTACCAACACTTACCAATTCACTTTAGATTCACTTCTTTCACTTACCAAACTGTCCTCACTTCTCGTCGTCGATTCGAAAGAATCGAAAGAGTCATGGTGGCGATGAGAGCTCAAAATTTTCATTTTTACAACCAAAACCTTCAAATTACTATTCTAATGCGTGATATTTATTGTTTAGAATAAATTTCACCTTCTCGCTTTCACAAGACCAAGAGATATCAAAAGGATAAGGAGAATGGTGGTTGCGTTCATTTCTGAAACGAGATTAGACTTCGATCTAAAGATACGATACTTCCAATACCATTTTAAAAGTATTTAAGTCTAGTTTTAAAAAGAAATGTAAAGATGAAATGTAAAAATGGGAAAGTCAGCTCTTTTGAATGATCTTTTGAATGAAAAATGCTCTTTCGAATGATCTTAAAATTCTCATGACCTAGATGGATTGAATGGAAAAGAAAAAGAATAAAAACTCACAAAAATTGACTCCCAAAAAAAAGCAAAAGTAGGTTTTGGCCTAGTTGAGAAAAAGAAGTTTACAGGAAAAGCAAATTGAGAGGGAAAATCTTTAAAGAAGTTCAAAAGAATGATTTGATCTTGAGAGTACGCAAATAAAAGCCTATATTTAGTTCAAAGTTATACAAAATCGCTTTCCAAATGGTACAAGATGATATCATAAACTTGTAAACTTAGTTATCGGCTAGAAACACACTGATTAAAATCTCCATAAAAGAAGTGAAAGCTTTGAAAAAACTGTAGATCAATTTCTGTGAAATGTCTGGAAAGTTTTAGGGTAAATTGTGGGAAGAAAAAAAGAGAAGAGAATTCCCTTTTGCAAGATCAAAAGAATGGATTGGGGACACCAATTACTCTCCAATTCAATTCCTTTTTCTTTTCTTTTTCATTCCTTTGCCTCTTTTCTTCTCGATTTCCCGGAAATCCTTTTGTAACCTCAATTCTGTATGGTGAATACTTTTTGAGAAAGGGGAAACAAACCACCCGGTTTTATAGGGAAAGTTTCATTCCGTGACCACAACTAACGTTGAACAGTTCGATTTAATGTTGAGGCTGTCTAGAAAGTCTTTTCTTTCCGTAATCGCTTGCCGTCTGGCACACGGCTTTCGCAGAACAAAATCTCATTTGGAAGCGGGTTGAAAGACAAAAAAGAAGTCCTCTGAAAGAAGAAAACTTTTTTTTTGAAAAACTAGAGTTTTTTCAAAGACTAATTTTTCTAAATTTTCGAACTCTTCCAAAAGTTCTTTCCCTTTTTTATCCAGCTCTTCGCCACTTCCTTTTTCCAGGAAGTGCCCAGAGTGCACCACGAGGAGGTGGCTGGACTTCGCACTCCGCCACCCTGTAGTCCGAAGACTCTTGGGATCCGAGGTCCACGTCTGGTCCTAAGCGATGGCACCGACTCCCGCAGCAAGAATGCTCAGCTTGCTAAGGTGCGTGCAGCGTAAGTAGGAGAATGCTCCGAAGTTACACTTTGTTGATACTAAAAGGGATTGATCTGATCCCCAGTCGGTTTAAGAACCTCACGGTCCCTCCAATGGGGTGTCCAAACTTCCGCCATCTAGACGACTGTCGAGTAGCGGACAGCTGACGGAAGCCGGAGCCCAAAGGGAGCATAATTGTAATCCGGTTACGAGCAACAGACCATTCTGCCTCCCTCCACGGGTGGCAGTGCGGAATAGTAGCGATTCCACGAACTTCGTATCCCTCACGGGAGACTGTGGATCTTTCCACAACATCCTTTCGGTCGAGAACTTGATGCTGCTCGGGGCTTATTCGTACAATCGACCCGGGCCAGCCCATGGCTCCGGGCGCCGCCTTCCACGAATGGGTTAGGCATTCGACCAAGCAAGAGAAGCAAGCTTCTACAAACTGTGTCTCCAAAAATCGTTTAGACTCTTAAAACCGTGCGGGACCAATGTGAGAGTGGACACAAAGGCACCAGAAGAGCGAAGCAGCCGGGTATATGGAAATGGAGATCGCCTGCTCAAATCCAAGGAAATTCTTTTAGGAATTACATAATTAACGTAATTTCCTAATTATCAAAGCAAAATGAAGCCAACTTACCGTGGAAATTCGCGGGAAAATATGAAATCACATCAAAAAGAGCGATTTCACTCAAATACACACCTTTGCTGTGTAAATCTCTGAAAATTCGTTAAATTTGTTGTTCATTTGTTTTGAATTTGTTATTTCTCAACGAAAGTATGAAAAGACTCTTCGGGAAGTCTAATACTGTAATTAAAACTGTAGCGAATACTATAGTAAGATGTAAATTGCAATATCTATAAGCTTTGCCTGTGTAACTTATCCAGTAACCAACCTAGCTTCAAATCCCCAGGTCTTGTCGGTGACTCACTCATCGTGGCTCCTCATGTTGAGAATGGAGTGATCACGAAATGGAATGCTTTTTATCATCCGACAAGGGAATACGCTGTCGATATGGCCGGTTTTGCGATCGGATTGCCGTTGATATTGAGAACGAGGTGGGGATTCAGTCCACCTCATTAGTTCAGTAAGCAATCAAAGAACGTTGCCAATCTTACTTTGCCTAAAGAATTCAAAACTATCTTAATCTCTGTTGTGATTGACTTGCTTGCAGAATAACAGTTATCGTTTATTTAGAATAATGAGACGAATAAAAGAACAATTGACTCGCATACAAAAATGTAGAACCAAATGAGAGGGAGCGAAAAGAAAATAAAATGGCACAAACTACGGGATTTTCCTAGTAACAACCTAGACAGATGTTAGAAAACGAGAATTTTTTTTGAAGTATAAAAGGCTATCTCCCCAACAATCTTCTCCTTCCAGAGCTCGCATCCTCCGACAATGCCCTGCAAAAGTCCCAGAAACATGTCTCATTCGACAGCTGGGAATTCCGAAAGAAGAAGCTGAGGCATTTGGATGGATGAATGGACAAAAAGAGATACTTGTATGGCATGTGAAAACCACTGAAAGGGTAGGAATTGCTAATCACAATATATTGTATATTGTATTTAGGTTCCACGCGGCATCAACTCTTTTGGGTATGATGTGGAGACATTGAATGCGAAAGAATGGTAAGAACATAGGAATTACAGTCGACGACCGGTTAAGGTCAGCTACAAAAAACATAAGCCAGCCAGCATTAAACCAGCCTGTAACCTGGTTTGGCAAGGCCAGGGTCAGATCAGAAGCCAGACTTGTTCACAAAACTCTGGTCTAATCAAGATCCAGATCTGGACATGGACTAGCTTATCTAAGGACCTGAATATAAGGCAAATTTCTAAAAGATTAATTTCCAGGAAAGTAAACCCAATAAAGTCAAATGTGACAAAAACGATAAAACCAAAACCGACAAATCCCTCAACGACAACAATTCAAATGGCATATGAAAACCATTGAAAGGGTAGGAATTGCTAATCACAATATATTGTATATTGTATATTGTATATTGTATTTAGGTTCCACGCGGGATCAACTCTTTTGGGTATGATGTGGAGACATTAAATGCGAAAGAATGCCAAGAACATAAGAATTACAGTCGACGACCGGTTAAGGTGAGCTACAAAAAACATACAGTAAGCTGTTCAAATATGAGAACTAAATCCGGGAAAAGAAGCTTGAGCCAGGCTGTCAAATGGCTTATGTCTGATTTTTTTTTTTTGAAAGCGTGTAGTCGGGTAGTCAAAGAGTAGGCTCGATTTAGACAATTTAAGCTAAGGAAACCAATTTTTGTGTCAATAGATAAAAGATAGAGCACAAAAAGTTTGGTATATAGTCAAATTTTCAGAGAAATTCATTCAGTCAATCTCTTCGTAGAGGTTTTTTTAAATTTTCTACGAAAAACACGTGTTTTCACTCTCGAATTTGCTTGTAAGTGAACCAAAATTGACTCAAAAAGATGGGAAATTCAACAATAAACACTTTTTCTTTAGAGCAAACCATAGATTTATTGGTGGATTTGTTAGTTTTCAACGGAAGTATGGAAAGGAATGAAAAGAATTTCTGGACAGCTTTTGTAATTGGAGTTGTCTCTGTAAAACAGTTCAGTCACAATTCTGGACAGCCTTTGTAATTGGAGTTGCCTCTGTAAAACAGTTCAGTCACAATCTGTAGTTAAACCTATTTCAGCGGATAAAACTTTTTGTTGAACTTTTGTGTTGATCTGTTTCTGTTGATCTGCTGAAAATATAAACTGTTTCTGATTCAAATTGACTGACAGTTGAAAAATACGAAGTCTACAAAAATACAAAGACTTGGAATGTATTCTGATTCTTCAATACACTTTAAACCTTTTGTTTTACAGAGTAAACAGAGACAGAATCCATCGCACCGATTTTCCCATTACAAAAAAGCGCTCTTCATCCCAGGAATCGACTTGCCCGTCGATTTCATGAATTTCTCGTTGATTGTGTTTGTGAGAAGGAGAAGAAGGAATGAGGGGAATGAGAAGCCATTCCCTTCTCTCTTCTCTCTTCTTGTTCCTTCTCCCTTCTTCCTTCTCTCTTCCCTTCTCTCTTCCCTTCTCCCTTCCCTTCCCTTCCCTTCTCCCTTCCCTTCCCTCTTCTCCCTTCCCTTCTCCCAATAGCAAGTTTTATTCTCCTTCAAAATAACGAGAAAGAGATTGGCAAAGTCTTCTTTTCAAAGAAAAGAGAAATCACTCCCAAAAATGGATCAAAGAAGGGACAAAAAGAAGCCGATTCGTGTTTTTCACCCTTGATAACCCCAGAGAAAAAAGGATTTGGGTAGATCTGACTACTATTCATCCTTTTGTGTATTCTTGAAGTCTTGAGGATTTAAATGCAATTTACACTACTATTCGTGATTCCTTTAATATATTCTTCTTTTATTGAATCAAAAAGGATTCGGGCTTACGAGTTTGTTTTGCACAAAATTTAGCTCTGTTGTTGTTACTGATAAGAATTTAGTTTTGTAAGCCCAATCTCTTGAATCACTTGAAACTTATATCATGATTTAATTTCAGAAAATATAAATCAATCTACAATGAAAGCACATGGGATAAAGAGATTCAGCCGATACTCGAGGATCTCGTTAGGGTTGGTTTTGATCTTTCAAACAAGTTAATTGATCTTAATATCATTGTTGATCTGGATCTATTTCTCTTTAACTCTTCAGGAAGAACGTCAACGTCTTCGAGATCAAGAGGCAATCGATTCTATTCTTTCGATAAGTTCTCAAGAAATGAAAGGAGACGAAAATGACGTAAAGGATTTGATGATTAATCGAAAGTGAAACCGATAAGCGATACTCATTGATTTCATTGGATATCTATAAACTAATATATAAGAGATTTTTAAAAATCATTTCTAGTTCAATGATTGCCATTTTTGTCTCGTTCTTTAGACATTAAAACCAATCAAAATCACTGTGATCAAATCTGCAACAATGAAACAAATCGAAGAAAAGCCGAAAGCGACACTAAAAAACGGGAAACCGGAAAAATCGGCGACTCTTGGCAAACCAAATGAAACGGAATTTCGATTGAAAAGAAAAGTTTAGAAGAAAATTTGAAATCAATGAAAAAATGAACATTTAGGCAAAAGTGTTTCCGAGAAAACCGAGAAATAATGCAGAAATGGAAAAGGTTTGTGAAAGGGATTTTGTGATATTTTGTGATATTTTATGATATTTAACATCACAGATTCTTTATGCAAACCATTCATTTTAATCGATTTAGATTTAGATTCCGAAGTTAAACTCGAAATTTTTCATCCGAACCACCCAATTGCTCAACGATCGAAAAGCGATCATCGATGAGTTGGCGAAAAATGAGAAATTCAATCGGAATAACCGAAAAATGACAACAACTGAAGCACCAATTACGACAAAAGAAACAAGTACAAGTTTTACGACAAAAGAAACAAGTACAAGTTTTTATAAAAAAAAAATTAGGCTCTGTTCTTTGTTTTTTCTTCAAAAAATAACTTATGAATTCAGTTTTCACCGAACAAAGTATTGAGACTTTGGACGAGGAATTGACACCTGAGGAAATTGATCACATCATTGGGGCCGCAATTTTGAAACCGACACTCAAAGCTGAAACTCTCGGAAGTCCCAATTCAAAGGTGGGTCAAGCTAAAGACTATGAAATTGACTATGAAATTGAATTGACTACGATTCAACTTTGAAAGTGATCCTAATGATCTTTGATAAAGAGTTTATCAAATCGGAAAACTTTTAGGCAACAAAATCTCGTGTTTTCGAGTATCCATTGAGTCGAATCCCCTCTTCTTCTTCTCCTTCATCTTCTTCTTCATCTTCTTCATCTTCTTCTTCATCTTCTTCTTCCCATATTCTTCCATCACAATCAATTCCACCATTTCAACCACCAATCGATGAGATCGGAAAAGTGAAAACAATTGAAGATAGCATCAGAGAGTTCATCCAATTCCGAACAACAACCACTTTACCCAAGAAAGGACCAAAAATGGATATGGTTTGATTTATGGATTTTTAGGATTTTTGTTCATATCAATATTTAGGCAAAATGGAACAAAGAAAGTTTTGCAGGTCCGAATTGACGGTGCCGAGCGTCCAGTTTTAGCCAAATCGATTCCCATTGCAAGCAAAACGATCGAAGAGTTGAAAGTCGAGAATCAAGTGAAAAAAACAAACAATCTGTTTGTCTGCTTGCAAACAGACAAACAGATTTTCAAACATTATACTAAATGACTAATCTAAAAAAAATAAAGAACTTCCAAATTTCTAGGAAATTCTCAAGGGAATCGAGGCGGCATTGGAAGGAAAAGGGGAAAAGGTTATTTCAAGAATTGCATTTTTACACGAAAATTTTCAGCTTAACTCAGACTTTCAAAAACAATTAATGATTCCAGCCGAGGTTCCGAGAAGCGAGGTGAGAAATGGGAAATATATGGGAAATTTCGAGAGAATTGTGTTTTGATCTTTGAATTTCAAAATGATAATGATTCCTTTTCAATGATAACTATAAGATTTCATTGTTCCTTTTCAGAAGACTCAAAGTTTATGAATTTTTTACTAGCCAGCGCTTTTCCCCTTTTTTTGTTGTTTTGTTCTTGTCGAACAAAAAAACACAGTACTGATTTCATTGCCATTCATTTTTCAGGTGCCTCTGAATGTGATGACTGACGATAAAATTGTCATCGATCCAACACAGTAATTAAAAGATATCTAGCTAAACCAATGCAGCTTTTAGTTCAAATCTATCAAAACTTCCTTACTCATCTCTGCCGATTGATATAAAAGAGCTTGATTGAGAGCTTGAATCCCATTGAGAGCTTCATTTGTTCAATATTCTTTTCAATATCGGGTTTTTCGCAAAAGTCATAAAGATTATTTATTTGAAAACACTGAAAACAGTTTATGAAAACACTTCATCGTGAATTGATCCATCGGATCGTCGACGAAGGAAATATTCAGGAACAATCGCACTCAATTCGGTTCGACGCAACATATGAGAGATCTAAAAGTATTTTGTATTTTGTAAAAGTTTTTGTAAAGTTCTTTCAACGCATGCCATAAGTTCTATTCTAAGATTAAAACCAAAATCTAACAATCTAACAAGACTATTCATTCACAAAATCTCGAGGACTTCTCTAGAACTTGACAAAGACTTTTCTTTTCTACTTTTCTACATTCCAATCACCCAGAAGGCTCACTTTTTCAATCTAAAATAGTAATTCAACAATTAGACAAAAATTTAGCTTTGTTTTTGTCTTTTGTTTTGTTTTCACCTGTGTAATCGATTTCTCTGTGGCTCCAGACCAACCGGATGAGAGTGAACCATATGGAGATCCATTCTCATCTCGGTCTCGTTGTTCGGCTAATAGATCTTTGTTTGCCTGAAAATTTGACTAAACAATATTATTTACTTGAATTGACTCAAGTCCATTTAATCATTAGCTTTCCCAGCTTTTCCAGCTTTTCCAGCTTTTCATTCACTTCAAATCTCACCTTTCTTATTAATCCATTTGCCTCGAGTCCTTGATTCATTCGATCGACAATGAATGTGAGAACCTAGAAATTTCCCGTTTTTCTCTATTTTGCAAAAGTAAATTTGGATTTTCGTTTCTCGGAAATGAATGAAATAATGTTTTTATTCTAAAAATGGAATCATTATTTGTAAGGGGGAAATAATGACTTCTCTCCAGAGGATTATCGCTGAATCGATCTCTCTTGAATCCATCGTTCTTTTGTTTAATCTAAAAAGCTTTGAAATTTGCATGATCTTCATCAAGTTTTAAACTACAAATCTTATATATTCTTATATACAAATCAAATCATATCTTATATACAAATCAAATCTACAAACTACCCATTCTGCTTTTTCAATTTTCGGTATACAATTAGACGCTTTAGCATCTTTTCATTTAATTTCAAGAGTCTGTACTCTTTAATTTTCTTGTTGATTACTGTAAAATTGTACAATTCTCCCACCTTTTGTCGGCTCGAATCGATTTGCGGAAATGAAAAAGAGTGCATTCCTTGAAGACACTCCAATAGTGAGATCTGAAGGCATTTAATAAGCTTAAAAAATTTTTTAAGCTTAAAATTTTGTGGAATTCAGCGAGCTTAAACCGATCAAAGCCTGGAAAATACTTTCTCGATCATTTTAGATTTGATAACTGAGTCTTGGATAAGCTTTGCAGACCGTTTGCAGACTTTTGTGAACTTGTGGAACTTTTGTATCAGCTGGGGAAACCTTATGACAAAAAAAACTTTCATTTAATCGCATTTCCGGCCATACCTCTCTTACTCAAAGCTCAAACATTAACCTAATCCATTCCACATATATGTAATCCCATTTTTCTTATATTTGTGATTGACATGTACGTGTCAAAAGATGATTGTCGTCGTTGAGGGTTGTGTCTCGAAAAGCGGCAACCATCAACGGGATCGCAATTTCCGGTGCTCAGCTCTTGCATTGAAAAGAAAAAAGAAAAAAAAGGAAAGAGGAAAATCCCTTTCAGAGTGAGACACTTCAAGGGTTAATTGAATATCTTTAAAGAAAGAAAGAGTGAATCGAATATTCATTATTTAGTGAAGTGAGGTAAACGAAAGGGAAAATAAAAGAAGAAATAAAGCAATGATTTCTCAAGACACCAAATGAAACCGAAAAAAAGAGAAAGAAAGTTTGAAGAAGGAGTAGTTTTTGCACGGCTTTGCTGAATTTGCAAGGAAAAGCTTTTAGAAAACTCACCGAAATCAAAAAAACTTTGAGAAAACTCACCGAAAACCCAATTGTTCTTCGTGTCTTGCATGCAATTTCCCCAAATTCAACAACAATGGATCGACTTTCTCGGGAGTTTCCAAGAATGTCACTGTTGATTCGATGATCTGAAATGCTCAATTCCACTTGAGAATATTTACAATTCGTTTTTCAGTATTCATTTGGTGTACGAAAGTGATACACTGACTATGAGAATCGACAGTAGCCTTGTAATTTTGAAATATGAATCAATGTCATGTCATCGATGAAATATGGATCGATTTCATTCCAACACAAACCTGTATAAATCGAAGTGCATGGAAAGTGAACTCAGAGCTCGGTTTTGAAAGATCATCCTGAATATTTCATCACTCACAAAGCAATACCAAAAGAAACGCAATGAATACTCGCCAACACTCACCTTTTTCTCTTTGAGCATGAAGCTGAACATGAGTTTTGCATCAGGTGCTTGTTCAAAGATCATTTGAAAAATATCAGTGGCCAACGCTTCTTTATCCCTTAAAAAAATTGTGTAAAGCTAGGCTTTAACTTTTAGTTATTACATTGTACATTAATACAATTGTACATTAATACAATTGTACATTAATACAATTGTACATTAATACAATTGTACATTCAATTTTCCATCTGCTCACCTGCTTACAACACTCCACGATTTTCGTAAAATATTCTTATCCAATTCGGTTAATCGACTTAACAAATCCATTGTGTAGAAACAATTGAAACTAAATTTTGATTTTGTTTGTAAAATGTGAAGCAAAGCTTGGATAAGTTGAGCAAAGGAAATACGGATCAAAGAAGGTTTATGATTCTCATCAGCAAAGTACAACAAAGATACTTCTCAAAATGCAAAAGTATCCAGAACACAAGCTCAACCATGAAAAATCGTGACTCCAGGAGAAAATAACGATGGTGGGAGTCTCTAATCCAAGCGAAAAGAGGATGAAATGAGAGAGGCGGTTCCAACTTTTCCCGTGCTTTGCCTTGCCCTCCCCTTCCCACCCCTTTCAAGTAGGGCCAAGGGAGGAGGCGCTCAATATAAAGAAAAGGGGTAATAATCTCAAGAGTGACGAATTTCCCTTCTCTTTCTCATCAATAAACAGGAAGTTCAGATTGTGAAACACAGTTAATACTCTATTCAAACTCATTCATCTATAATACTTCAGAATAAAAGATCAACAACCGGATCCCATTGAGTTAAGTGCAGAAATAGAAAGGAAGCGTGATTTGCAACAAAACCATTCATTTTTAAATTAACCACTTTTCCATTTCTCTTTTAAAGAAATTTGCTCAAAAAGTAGTAATTGAATGGAATAGCAAAGGTGCCACAAAAAGAAGACTTAACTGAAGACATGAGCAACTAAAAAGCCAGCAGCTCTCTTCTTTCTGCTGTCAAATGCTGGATTCGACGTTTTCTCTTCGGCCATGAATAAACAACTGTTTCAAGCAAAAAAAAAACGCAAAATTTTTCGATAGCAGTTCAATCCAAATGTATCACTAAACGTAAATAAGTATATAAAAAGTTTACTGACCGTCCAAAGGTCAAAAACATGAAATGCTGTGCAAAAGAATCATTCGTTGACTTTTCCCCCGAATTGTTCAGGCATAAGTGGTTCGGGAAGTCCCTTCAATAGATGTGGGAACTTGTATTCGGGATTGATTGTCCCAGATTGGTTGTTTCTTTCTTCCACTTTCTTCTTTCTCACGTCAATCACTCAGTTTCTTCATCGATGGCTAAACCAGGAGAAATTAAAAAGGTGGAATGAAGACTATTAATCTACAATTTTGCTCTTCGTGATTGATGATGAGCGATGCATGGCCGACAAGACGCGCCCTCACTAACATTTCGTTGAACGACCGAGGCGACGAGGATCGAGAAAGCGCTGCATGCAATTTTTTTGTTTCTCCTTTTTAAATGTTCCTTTTCAGAAGACATCTCTCAAAGTTTATGAATTTTTTACTAGCCAGCGCTTTTCCCCTTTTTTGTTGCTTTGTTCTTGTCGGTTTTGGGACTTCTGTCCAGAAGGAGGCGTTTTTGATGAGGTAATTCTTCTGCCCAAGTTTCCAGGACATCTGCATGAAATTGTGAATCAAGAATCTTGAGAAATTTGTTAGCCAAATCGTTTGCAACAAATCAAAATGAGATCTTTTTCATCGGAAATAAAAGGCTAAACTATAAACTTTTAGAGAACGAATCTGTGGCTCATCGTATCCGGGCCTCTCGCTGCGGAGGAGGCGCTGATCCCCGGAAATGCCCCGATTGTAGACTTAAAATAGTGCTCGATTTTGGGGGTGAATCTAACGAGAAATCTCGCAGAATTAGGCAAACGTAATACGAGATAAAGATATCGAACAGTCCAGAGGTTCGCAAAAAGTCCGATGAAAATTCCATTCTTATCGTTAGGCACATGTGTAGGCCCGATTTCCCGAAGAACAGCCCGGAATTTCTCACAAAAAAGAATGGTCCCCAGAAATAATCGATTGGAAAAAAAGTTCTCGGAGAATAGTTTGCCTGGAGTTTCTTAAAAACGAATGCACCAATTCAAGAACATTTTGTTCTATTATTTACAAGTCGACTCCAAGGAATTACTCGTAAAAAAAATGAGTGCAGCTTTCCCTTAAACTTAGAGATTTTTGAAAAATTATTATTTTACAGCTTAAATTCAGCTCACTTTTTGCACCAGAAAAGCGATTCCTTATGAGGTAAAGCTAGCATAAATGAGCAATACGCTCTATAATCTCTATTTTTTTCTCTATAATCTCTATTTTTTGGCCAAAAATTTTTTACAGAGAAGTTGTATTTCAAAAAAAAATAATTTTTTGGTGTCGTCTTCTTGGCACTGAGTGTTTGCTAAAATAGGTGATTCTGAAAAGTTGAAGCATTAGATTGCCTTAATCAAAGTTTGCCTTAATCACAAATTTTCCCTATTTTAAGTACTTCATTTTAGGTTTTGAATGGGACCCATTGTCTATCCATTAACCCATTAAAAACTTGTCTAAAGGCTGATCACTCAAAAAGTGACCAAGTCATTTCAGCGGAAGAAATCTCTTATTTTTACCTGAAGCCCACTCTGATTTTTTTTGTCAAAAACTTTTTGAAATACATAGTCAAGTTTATCGAAAAATCTGGGAAGAATTAATGACTTGGTTTTTGAGAAAACACTGTTTCTACGAACTTTCTTGCCAACTTAATAGAACTTTCCTACAATCAACTTTATGTCTAATTGAAAATTTTTCACTCAAGGTACATTTGAGAGTTGAATTTTCTCAGCACTGACTCTCAGCATCACTTTAGCATTCTGATATTTTATGGATAGATTACCTTTCCCAAGATGAGATGCTAGCTGGCTGATAGTTTTGATACCTAAATTGATTGAATTAAACACTAGATCAACAACGAGAAGCCGCTGTCTTGCTTGACTTTTTTTGTTGAAACAATAAGCTTCTTAAGTATTTTTTTGTGCTTGAATTACCTACTAATTTTTCTAGAAGTGAGAGTTAATATTTTGAAGATCTGTGTATATGCTTTTGTTCTTTATGAGACATAAATTGATGATTGAAAAGCGGCTTGATTGGATCGAAATTGCAATGGCAGAGCACGAGAAACGATTTCTCATCACTAATTGATTCGTTGATCTCGCTTTTAAGCCTATTCACAAAAAATCATGGTTTATTTTGAGCTATTAGTTCTTTATTTAACCTTTGCATCGGCTAGGTAAACGTTTTGTTAGTCCTTTCCTATTGGTAGCTTTATTCAGCATTGGTGCCGATCGAGTAAAACGACAATTTGAGACCGAAGTTCGGGTGAAAACTTCCAATAATGAATGGACAACGACTTATCAACAATCTTTAGATTCGGCTAGTTTTATTCAAAAAAAGATAGTTATTCATTAATTTAGCTTCTCGAGGGAGGAGTACCTAAAATTGTTTCCCGAGGGCTCCCAGGTCCCGCGCAAACCCCTGAATTCCCTTTCCGAGCATATGGATCACCTACTCAAGGATATAGTCTTGCTTCTCCTGTACGCTTTGCTCGTCAGGATGGAGCGCAGGCATTATTTGGATCTACTCAATCGTCTACTGGCAGCAGTTCAGGGAACAGCTTAGCTGGCTCATCGGTATAGGCATTTTGGTAAATTCCATTAGAGTCTTGTTTTGTCAGTCCTTTCAAAGAAAGGAGCCAATAAAAGTCATACCAAAATCAGCAATCCGTTTCAGTCAATTGCCCCGTTCCTCAATTATTTCTATCCGGACCCACTCGTCAAAAATCCGCCCGCGGGAGAGACCATTGGAGATCCCCACGATAACAAGTAGATATTTGCATAACTCTAAATTATTTCTAGATAAAAAAAGCGGTGATCTTACTGCTCTTGAGATGTATCAAATCAAGCAGTACATTATTAACATGATCACTTTCTAGATACTTATTCGATTTGACACGTTTTGATGCTGTGCCTGGTCAAATCCCTCCACAGAATCGAGTGCGTATGCTGAGAAGCCGCGATCTCCCTTTAATGGGAGCCAATCCTCCAAATTTTCCCATTCAATACTTCTACCAAAGAAACGCTCCATTGATTTTCTAACTGTTTTGAATAAAGTAATAAATTACATGTGAATCATTAAAACGCACCAACAGTCTTCAATCATAATTATATTTCAACTTATTCCTTTTCTATTTGGCACATTTACTTTCCAAGTTTCGAATGAATTGTCGACGTGCTCAGGTAAACTTGGTTTTTATTATTTGTTTCATTCGGCTCACATTTATTGTTAGTGTGTCTAACTTTGTCTAACCAGCTAGCTTTCGTGTTGACCAAGAGTCCCGCTTGTTTTTGGAAGGCGCGTTCTGTTTGCTCGACCATTTTGTCGCTTTACCTCAAACTTGGTTAATTAAAATTAACTTGGGTAATTATTTTTTATTTTGACGAAGAAACAATTCGAAGGTTGCAAGAAAGTGTCGATGAAACACGGAAGATGAGCATCCCATATATTCATGAGCGTTTTACAGTTTATTTTTATACCTAGATAGTAAAAAGTTCAGGTGGAAAGAGCCAAGGATGTTGAAGAAGCTAAGCAAGCCAATCTTGAAAATCATCTGCATAAGGTAAGGCATGGAAGTTAGCTTTATAGTCGTTATAGTTTTTAGTCTTTATAGTTAGCTTTCTATTTAGATTTTTGCTACGATTAGTGAACTTCATGATGCCATTTAAAAAATCTAAACGGCGAGTGGTTTGGTTCATCTATGTCTAGCTTTAAACCATTTTTAGAAAGAACTTTCCAAGCAAATCGAGTCATGGGTTGAATTAATAAAAAAATCACAAGCAAATAGTCAGTTTTAAAATTCAGGTAGCATTTTTAAAGCATTGGAATCTTATATTTAGGTGGAACGTGAAGATGCTCGATTTCAAAGTGTACGCGATAAAAGCGAGCAATTGTGTGCTGATTTGGAGTTCAACATTGACTTACTTAAGTAATTCTTTATAGCCCTCGTTAATAAACTACTTTATTTTATTTTCAGGCGCAAGCGAATAAGTGTCGATGCTTTAGTGCTTGATCTTGCTCAAACGAGGGAATATCATGGTGTGAGTTGTTGTTTTTTCACGTATAATACTTGCTAATAATTCTAGGTTTTTGTCAACCAGCTGCGCAGCGATTTAAAGAGACAAAAGAATGAACTTGAGGTAGACATTGTATTTAGCATACCTGAGTGATACTTGAACTGTTTTAGACTTGGGATAAACGCTCACTAGATAACAAAAAAACCGTTGGTTCGCCTTGGAGGTCGCTATAAAATCGCAAGCAATGAGCAGGAACTCAGCAAAGCTCGCCTCGCTGAAAATCCGGTAAGGTTTTGAGTTTAATGCAAAATCACTAAGTTATTTTTGTTTTCGTTCAATAAATTAGAAAATTTATATTTTCTAGCCTGCAAAGGCTGCAATCGCTGTATTGATCAGTCGCTGGAGTTCCGCTCATTGTGATGTTGTGGCAAGTCTTTCTCAAGCCCCCGCTTTGATTGTTCAGGTTTTAATTTATGATTTGGAAAATTTCAACACCCGTCAATCCGCAGCCAATGAAAGCTCAAACAATGACACTTGCGCCTGTATTGGCTCAAAACAACAACGAAAGAGGCCGACACACTTCAGAAAGTTCGGTGGAAATGCCCATGAAAGTTAGCGTTTATATGACGTGATTTAGTATGGAGGTTTAGTCTGAATCGCGCGCACCTACATACTTTGCTCGCTTGGATGTAGTCGAAAATCACCCACACGAGGAGATTCAGCAACGTGCGGTTGGTGAATGTTATCAAGATCATTTATTAAAGTTTTAGAAGAAAAGTGGCTTGGTCATTACTAGCCAAATTCGAGAAGTATTGCGCACAGGTCGATCGAGTACTAACCTGTTTCAGGTTAGTTTCTTTTCTTGTACAAGTTAGTAAGTTAGCTTTAGAAAAGTCCAAAAACCAGAAATCGATGGAAGAAATAATACCTCAAATCGTGAAGGAATGCTGAAAAGTGCTGAAAAGTGAGAAGGATCCGGCAAATGGAGAACCGTTGGGACTCGAAAAGGATAAGGCTCAAGTGAGTGGAGAATCTCTATGGGCTAGAGATGCAGCCAAGTCGAAGACCCAAGCAGACGGAGAATCATCGACACCCAAAGAAGATAAGGCTAAAGCAGATGAACAAAAATTGTTGGTCAGCGAAAAGAAAACATATGCAAATGAAGAACCGTCTACGCGAAAAAAGAAAAGGAAAACGTTCACCCGAGTGGAGCTATCGCCCATGCACCAATCAATGAGAATGACCAAGCGAAAGGACAATCATCTACACTCAAATCAGAAAAGTTTCAAGGATATCAAGTGTTGCCTGTGTCGAATGAGGAGAAAGTTCAAACCAATCACTCTCTCATTTTAGAAAAAGTCAGGTTTTAAAATTAATTTTCGGATTCTAAAAATCTTCGTTAATTTCTTTAAACTTTTTTAGGATCAAGCCAATGATCTTGCCGACAAGCTTCTCGCTTCTCGCAAATGATCGACTACAATGAAATCGAGTTTGCCTGCAAGGAAAAACAAATTATTAATTGAGTTAACGTGCCTTGTATGCTTGCTTTTGGTTTATTTCATGTACATTATTTTAATAAAGACGTGCAAACGTGAAAGAGGCTTTCAAAGTGTTTTGGTAATGCGAAATTTTACATCCTGATTTATGAGACGAAACTCTTCACACACTGATTGACTCTTTTCTTATTCTTATAGTGTCTATATTGGCAAAGGATTGTTTATTTTCTCAGACTCGGCGACTGACGATTTCGAGCACTTGACGCTTTCTGCTAGCTCTTGTGCTCTCGTTCTTTTTTCCAATGTGGAGATGTCTTGTTAGACCCAGAGGCATTTTTCCCCGAATACCCGTTCCCTTTTTTCATTCTTCCGTTTCTCATCGTGGCTCTCTATTTCTCGATGCTTGAGAGGCTTTTTGACTGCAGAATGAAAGAGGAATGTCCCAAAATGCATACTCCCGCGCTCTCTTTTCGACCACTATCTAGCCATCCACATCTGTTTTGTCGATGCTCTCAATCCACGTGTGTGCTCTCTTCAAGCGCTCTTCCGGCAACACTTATGAGCTTTTTTAGTGTTATTGCTTTTTACAGTTTTGAACTCGTATGGGGACTAAATAAGCACCTCATCCCTATAATATACTGTTCAAATTGCATCACAGCCAATTAGCAAAATTTCGTCATGAAAATGATCTCGTTATGATTGTTCACCTCTTTCATTCAACTGTCCTCAGCTACATATAAAAGCTGCCGCAAGCTGCATTGTGGAGTCGAAATCTGTAAAATATATCAATCCTTCTTAGAAATCCTGTTTCAAATTTCGTAGACACCCGGAATTCAGGACTGGGATACCCCTTCTTTTCCCCATTGATCTCTTTTTCTTTTTGTGTAGATAGGCTATTGTGAATGATCGTGATAATCCCCTTTCGTTCAACCGATTGACCTCTCTCTTTTGTGTGTAATCTACCACCTCTCAAAATACCAAAGCCCACGTGTCAATAGGAGGGAGTCGACGAATGATCGGAGTTTTTGATCCCCAAAGATCCAATCCACATCGGAAACATTTTTTTTCTGTGATGAAAAAGACAACCCGATTATATTTAAGCCAAGAACTTTTATTTATTCTTTGTAGATGAGCAATTCACACTCAGCCAAAGAGAAAGACCATAATTGATTCAATCGTCGTTTACTTTTTCCACTTTCTCCCTTAAGATAAAAATCGGGACGTTGGGCGAGTTTATTCCCAGGGAATGACGTCGACACAATCATGGGATTTTGCCCGGTTTATTGGGCTTTTTTGCCATTCCAAACACTTTCCCCCGATTGAGAGTTGCCCCGCCTTTCCATCCATAATCGGCGCCCCCTTTTTCCGTATGTTTTTCACTTTTTTTTCTCATTCGATCAGCATTTTGTTGAAAGATTCGTTTCAGTAGGATAAAATGGATTTTGTGTTAAAATTTTTGCCTACTTTTTTCCATTTTTTGTTGGGGAAGCAGTTTACATAAAGTAGGTGTAACAGAAATAAACGTTGTCAATACCAGTGGTAATTTTTGACGGTTGCCAAAATCCTAAAAAACGATATACAGTCAAACCTCGTTAGTAAATAACTCATAGGAGATTGAAAAATCCTATTTACTAGTTAAATTGAATGCTTTTTTTTGTCAAAGGAGTGCTAGAAACCTTTTTTACTGAAGAGTTTTCTACTAACGAGGTTTTACTGTACATAATATCACGTAGATGAAAAAGTGGGGTAGGCTACTTTGCGCCAAATTTTTTGCGCAACTCACCACAACTTTCTTCTAAGTGGATCAATCTTTATGATTTTGGTTTCATTTTGTAGATCTCAATAAGTGCAGCAAAATGAAACCAAAATCATAAAGATTGGTCCACTTAGAAGAAAGTTGTGGTGAGTTGCGCAAATGACCCGGTTGCTCAAATGACCCAGTTGCGCAAAAAATTTGGCGCAAAGTAGCCTACCCCGAAAACGTCTCAAAAATGTCCAGTGACTAAAAGTATTCAGTTAAGCGGGTCCATAAAATGGCGCCCAGAAGCTCAATTTTCACATTTTTCATGTTTTCTCGTCCAGCAGTTTTGAATTTTGCCCGCGACTTTTGCCTTAGACAATCCCGTAACTGGATCATATTAGTCTTGAATTCGACCTAGATTTAATTGTTATTGACGTGTTCTCCATCAACTTCTTTTCATGTTTCCTTTTCTTTATGTCGCACTTTATTCTTTTTGTTTAGAAGTTCTTCAACAACTCGACCTCAAAATGTGTGGAATCTTTGCCTATCTTAACTTCTTGGCGCCAAAGAAGCGCAGCGAGGTCATCGATATTCTTCTTCAAGGCTTGCAACGAATGGAATACCGAGGATATGACTCTGCTGGTATGATTTTGAAAATTTAAAGTTCAGTAGTGTGCTTCACTATATGGAGCGCACTTTGGAAACTCTGCTTAAAACGCCTTTTCCCAAGCTTTTTTGTTTTTTGGAATCTACGCATAAAACTACCCCAGAAAAATGGTTTTGAAGAAAAAAAAGTGTGCCTCCAACTAGGATAGTACCAAAACTTTTCCGGGGTAATTAATTGCGCTGAGTCCATTGGAAGCATTTAAAAACCATTCTAAACAACTTTTATGCCAGCTTGAGCAACAATTCCGAGCCTTCAAGAGTGATTCGATTTCCATTGGGTTTAGAGGTGCGAGACCGAATTAAGAGGCTTGAAATAGCTAGGAAACAGTCACTAAGGCTTAAATAACTACCAAATTATGAATTTACGTCATTAAAAACCCTAGAGGCAAAAATTAGGGTACTTTGGTGGTTTCGCCTGCCTATATCTTCGATTTTGGGACTTTTTCTAGGGTAATCGAGGGTGCTGAGCACGAGTTTCGCATTTTTAACATTTGCTTATTTGCTCTTGCTGAAAAAACGGACTTTTTCAACCTCGAAAAGTAACGCAAAATTAATGCTTTTTGGCGATTTCGTTTGGCGCATGCAAATTTGCGTGTCTACATTTGGCTTTGTGAGTGTTTAGCCGTAATGGCGGATAGTTGGGCGGGTGCACTTAGGCAGGCCGATTGGGGGGTGGGCATTTTTTTTTCAAAACCACTTTTTCTGGGGTGGTTTTATGTCTGGATTCCAAAAAACACAACGAGAGCTTGGGAAGATGCGTTTTAAACCAAGTTCAATTGAAGCTACGCTAAAACTACAGGCTCCTCCTGCTCTAGCTAAACTTGGTCTACTCGACCGCTAACTGCATATTTAACGTCCAGATCTGACCACATCTAAGTAAATGCTAATTTGCAAAAAAAAGCAGGGCCGCGGCTCAAACCCACGAACCTCGAACCCAAAATATTAAGTAGTGCTTAATATTTTTGCAAAAATGGTTGGAAATTAAAAAAAGGCAAACCTAAAAGAAATTTTCAGCACCGGGAATCGATCCTGTGACCTAGTTGTTTCTCTATAAGCATTTATCTTGAGTGTGGTCGAAATCGACCACAAGCCATATGGTCGGATTCGGACATAACATATGCATTTGTTTGGTAAATAACGTCTCAAATGTAACAAACAATGCTACTTTTTTCTTTCAGGAATTGCAATTGACAGTAGCAACGATGGGTCAAAGCCACACGGCGACGTCATGTTGATTCGAAAGGCGGGCAAGGTGAACGTGCTGATTGATGAGGTCCACGGGCAGAAAGACATCGACATGGAAATGGTCTACAATATCCACGTGGGAATCGCGCACACGCGTTGGGCCACACACGGATCGCCACGGGATGTCAACTCCCACCCTCAACGGAGCAACTCAAAAAACGGTAATTCTTGTGTGCTTTTCTTTAAATTTTCCTGTTTATAGAGTTTCTTGTCGTTCACAATGGTATCATCACCAACTACAGAGAAATCAAAGAGTACCTACTCAAAAAGGGGCACGTATTTGAGGTAACGGTTGTCGAGAAGCTTCAAAGTTTAAAGTTTAGTCCGAAACTGATACTGAAGTGATAGCCAAGTTGACCCAACACATCTCCGACCGCTACCCGGAATTCTCTTTCCGTCAATTGGTGGAGACTGTCATTCAACAACTGGTACAACTTTTTTCTGTTCTCACTGAAAGAGTTCTAGGAGGGAGCGTTTGCCCTTGCCTTCAAGTCAAGCCGCTTCCCTGGTCAGTTGGTTGCGTCTCGCCGCGGTTCTCCTCTTCTCGTTGGAATCAAGAGTTCAAATCGGCTATCAACGGATCGCTTCCCTATTTCCTACTCAAAGGGTATTAAAATTTTTGACTGATACATTTCAAAACCCGTAGAATCAGCAGTTGCTAATATTCAGATGCTGGATTTGTTTGGCAAGATGAGCACACAAAAGTGGCTAAAGAAGATGGTAGGCATCTATGATGCGTGTTTCATGTCCCCACTTAAGGCTTTCACTTGCACCTAACTACTTAATACACACTTGAGTTTCCTATCACAACTAATTTCTTTTGTTTTACAGCTCACCGCTTCGCGTCGTCTCAGGCGACGCACTGTGGGTTTAGTTGTCCTATGTTCGTTCATTTTATTTGTGTTTAGTGCGTAGCAAGCTTGATGCAAGCTTTGTTGGAACACCCACTGTCCTTGATTTAAGCACAAGCAGTACGTTTATGTTTTCTTACGTTTCAATATTAGTGTTATTAATAACTAGTTTCATTTTAGTTATCCAGAATGAAGTCAAGAGTGCTGATGATCGTCATTCTTCAATGTCGAGTGTTCGTCCATTCGATTCCAATGACTGGGAGGTGAGGGTCGCTTTTCTTTTTTAGCTTGTCCTATTTAGGTCGAATACTTCGTTGCATCCGATGCTGCGGCCATAATTGAACACACCAAACAAGTGCTTTACTTGGAGGATGACGACGTTGCTTTCGTTGAAGATGGGGCTCTGACTATTCACCGCATCAAACGCGGCTCCAATGATAAAGAGACGGCTCAAACACGTGAAGTACATTCACTTACGATGGAGCTTCAACAAATCATGAGGTATGCTTGATTGTTAATAAAATTAATTTTGTAATTTAGGGGTGATTTCAAGACTTTCATGCAAAAGGAAATCTTCGAGCAGCCCGACTCTGTGGTTAACACTATGCGTGGACGGGTGCTTCCATCCGGGCAAGTCGTGCTGGGAGGAATCAAGGATTATGTCAATGACATTCGCCGGTGCCGCCGTCTTATCATGGTATCACCCTTATTTTTTCCTTATTATTTATATTTTCAGGTTGCTTGTGGAACTTCGTACAACTCGGCGATTGCTTGCAGACAAATCATGGAGGAGTTAACGGAACTGCCCGTTGTTCTTGAACTTGCCTCAGATTTCCTTGACAGGGTATTATTTGGCTTTTTTACATCAGTTTTGTTTTCTTGTTTAGCAAACTCCAATCTTCCGTGATGACGTTTGCTTCTTTATTTCTCAATCTGGTGAAACAGCGGATACTTTGATGGCGCTTCGGTGGGTTAAATCTTTTGTTAAACTTCGAAATTTTCTTTTTTAGTTATTGCAAGCCACGAGGAGCTTTGCTGATTGGAGTCACAAACACAGTTGGATCGTCAATTTGTCGTGAATCTCATTGTGGTGAGTCAGTCTACATATCCACATTTATTTACAATACATTGTTTCAGGAATTCACATAAATGCTGGACCAGAGATTGGAGTTGCCTCTACAAAAGCCTACACCTCGCAAATCCTATCATTGATCATGTTTGCACTCGTCTTGTCTGAAGATCGCATTTCAATGGTGGATCGTCGACGAGAAATTATTGATGCTCTCAACAAGTTGCCAGGTCTGCCTTTGTCTCTATTTGAATTAAACGTTATTTCTTTAGAGTTGATTCGTGCCGTTTTGAAGCTGGATTCGGAAGTTCTACAAATCGCCAAGGAAATCTACAAGGAGAAATCACTTCTCATCATGGGAAGGGGATTCAACTTTGCAACTTGCCTGGAAGGAGCACTCAAAATCAAGGAGCTTTCGTACATGCACTGTGAAGGAATCATGTCTGGAGAACTAAAGCATGGGCCGCTTGCAATGGTCGACGAAAATCTTCGCATTGTCATGATCATTTGCAAGGACCATGTTTACAAGGTAAACCTTTATCTTGATGCATCAATAGGTTAACTTCACTACTTATAACATAAAAGCTTAACTTCAGAAATCGCTCAATGCCTTGCAACAAGTTTGCGCTCGTGGTGGTGCTCCAATTATCATTGCTGATGAAAGTGTTGCAAAAGATGATTTGGCGGTTGGCGTTTTGAGAAAATGATTGTATTGTGGAAAGTGTTCAGGATATGCCTCATGTGCTCCGAATTCCAAGGACCGTCGATTGTGTGCAGAACATCTTGACCGTGATTCCATTGCAGCTCCTCTCGTATCACATTGCCGAACTCAATGGACAAAATGTAGAACTTGCGAAACTAATTTGATAATCTGATCTTTTTAGGTTGATCGGCCAAGAAACCTTGCCAAGTCTGTCACCGTCGAGTAGATACATGGAAATTCTGTGCTATTCAATTTGTCATTTTTATTTTTTGTGATATCCATGTGATTAGTTGGATACTGTGATATTAGTAAAGTTTGTGCTCAGTGCATAACACGATCAAATTCAACATCGATATTCCATTGAAGATTTGTGCTGACGAAAAAGGCAAGGCTCTAGAAATGGGTAGAGTTGTTCAAGTTTGAGACCAACCACATGATTGCTGTAAGATCCGATTCGAAAATCATTGAGGTCAACCGCTGACCGCATTTGAACTCCCTTTGAAGGGACAATTTTGATTTGGAAGGCTTCATCCGCATTACTTGTCTGAAACTCGTCTGATTTCCTCGCTTAAACATTGGGTCTTACCGAAACATCAGCTATCAATATTCCAAAGTATTGAGCTTTGTAAATTTTAACGCTTAATGGAGCCGCTTCAATTGGATCGGCAATATCAAAGAGATATGCAGTCAAGACTGTTCGCTCCTCTCTGAAACAGTTATTATTGATAATATCTAATGGACAAACTTTGAGCAGCTGCGAAAATCCTCTACAACGTTTATCGGTAGTTCAGAGTCAATACTCAATTTGTATGGGCATGCCTAAAATTTTGATTCTTTTAAATAGCTTTTAATAGGAACTTTTTTCAGTTGAAGATTATCGTCATATCCAATGAGATGAAGCGAAGTCCACATATCAGCAAAATCCCCGTTTCCTTCTAAATTGGATTCATTTCAGTCTAATCAAAAACTCTGTCTGTCTTTATCGGAAGCAATCTTCAATTATCGCCAACCTTCACAACTATCGGCTTCTATTTGATGCATTTGCAAGAAAGCGCTCATCGGCACACAACCGTCACGAAGTGAGAAATGCTTGGTGAGTACTTGCCAATCCTAGAACAGTTAACATACAAGATATTTTTCCCCTTAAAATTTTATCTTCTCCATTCCCATTTCCCCATCACTCACTTCATCACTCATCGGTTCATCGCCCGTCGCCGCATTAAACGCATCGAATTCTTTTCGGTCCAACAACCCATCCATATTCCAATCGAACATCTCGAAGGTGTTCATTAAAGTCATTCTGAAATCATTAAATATGTGAATGAGGAAAAAGTTGAACTCTGACTCATTCAAACGTTTGATTTTTGATTTTTGGGCAAATGGAAGCGAATATTAACGCTCTTTTTTTAAAATGGTTAAACGAATACTTGAATCTTTTTGTAAGCTTTTTATTCTCATCGATCAACTGTTCGCCACCATCACCGGTTTGTTTCGCCGACTGAAAAGTGACTCCGGCACACATGACGACTATCGAATAATCACCGGCTTTCAACGCAAGCGGCTCGGTGGTGTAACTCTGGAAATGTAATTCTAGAAGCTAGAAATTCTCACAGAGTATAAACCGATATCAATAGTGATTTCCTCAGCAACTCACTCCTTTTTCATTTCTAAAAGCTGTGATCCCTATGGGCTCATCGGAATTCGCATCGGAGAGAACGCCGAAAATATCGTTCACAAAAGATTTCTCCTCCATGTCAGCTAGAAATTGACGATTTAGGTTTTTGTTTTTCTTTCAATCATCACGTAAAAGATTTCCTCTTTGTGAATGAAAATCGCTCCTTTGAAATGGAATGCATTTTTGAGAACAAAACAGCATTTCTCTATGAGAATTTCGATGGTTATTTGTTGAGTTTGTTGAATTTGTTGAGACACACTAATAGCAGATGGTTTTTAAGATATTCAATAAAAGTTTTTGAAGTTAAAAACTGCAAAAAATTTCCTGATTTGTTCTTGGCTATTTGGAGATTTTCTTTACGTTGAGCCTTTTGAGGGGGTCCTTGAGCTCTATGAGTTAGACGGGAAGCGGTGGAAAAATCGAAACCCTGACTCGGTTTAGAGCTTGAAAAAAACCCCAATTCTCTCTTACAAACCTTTCTTAGAAGCTAAATTAACTTATTTTTTTGTTTGTTTGTTTATTTGTTTATTTGTTTGTTTGTTTATTTGTTTTTTATTTATTAAAGTTTACCCAACTGTTTCTGACAATTTCGACAATGATGCCGACTCGTTGTGGATCGACGAGTCGAAAGCGAAAAGCGGTGAAGCGAATCTCGCGTGAGATTAGCACAAAACCACGTAATGAAATCTAGAATAGAAATCATAGAAATCGAAATAGAAATAGTGAAATAGTAATGAAATAGATAAAATAGAAATCAAAATGCAAATTAAGATGTTTTCTATGAGTAAAAACTCACGGAATGCTTGAAATTCTCACTCTTTCCGGGCATTGATTCATCATTCAGCTTCAGATTCATCATTGATTCATTCTTTTGAGTTTCATTTGGTACATCTAAATACCATAGTTTTCATTCATTTTACTTTTCCTCTCGAGAGACAAATCGTGGCTATTTCTGAGTGAAAGAGAAGCAGCAAAAGTCCCGTTTCCTTGATTTTCGCAAATTGAATAGAAAAGTGGATTTGTTTGTGTTAGGATCTGATCGAAAGCAATCATCCAAATGTGTTCTCATCCATAAAATGAAGAAAAGAAAGAAAGAAAGAAAGAAAGTGAAGAGAAAATGAGAAAATCAAGTTTACGAGTTTACAGAAAAGATAGAGTGAATGCTGAATGACTCTAAGCTGAATGACTCTAAGCTGAAGGACTCTAAGCTGAAGGACTCTAAGCTGAATGACTCTAAGCTGAATGACTCTAAAATTCACTTAGAACTATTCTCTTTGAACTTACCTTTGCTAGGTTTTTCTTCGAGTAGCAGCTTCTCTAAAACCTCGTTTCGCGTCTTGTTCAAATCGATACAGAACTGAAATTTTGTGAATGATTGGCAAGGCATTACTGTAGAGACTTCGATTCTACAGTATTCTTAAGCCTAGTTAAAAGCTGAGTAATTTAAACATCGTTTGACCGTTTGATCAAACTTTGACGATCTTTGACGCAATTCAAGCAAATTTCTAGCAAATGCACCAATTTTAGCCTTTCTTATTTGGTATTCCGTTTAAAATAGTCCACTTTTTCTTTTGTGATGACGCGTCAGAGAAGAAGAAAATTCAATTATTTGCATGGGTTGAGGTGAGTGTCCTTTCTTTTCGTACTTTTTCGTTCTTTTCGTTCTTTTCAACCCAATCCATCCGATCTCACTCTTTTTTTTGTTTTGAGACTGAGCAAAGCAACATTTCCCTTTTGGAATCTCTTTAAAATAGAAATAAAAGTACAATGCTTACTTACCGTATTTCTTCGAATAGAAGACCGGGTAAAGAGTATCCTCGCGTACTCCTGCGTAGCAGCCCTTTTTAAAATTTCTTTTCTGCATAAAAGCTTTCAATCAAGTGCTATAGAGCTGGAAAATGGCTCAAAAATCTGTTAGCTCATGTGGTATTTTTGAGTCATTTTCCAGCCCTATAGCACCTGATTGAAAGCTTTTATGCAGAAAAGAAATTTTAAAAAGGGCTGCTACGCAGGAGTACGCGATCATACTCTTTACCCGGTCTTCTATTCGAAGAAATACGGTATTTAATCTATTGAATGTCAACTTGATTCCCTTGCCATATATTGAAGAATTTTATCTAATTCAAAAAGAAAATCTTTATCTTTTCCGATGTTTCTCATTATTTTTTATGCTTGGACCCTGAAGGCAAACACCTCGTTCATTTTTATTGCTCGTTTACGGCCAAGTTCCTCAACCCCGTTCGATTCGGAGAAAAGTTCTGAAAAAAATATCTAAAGCTGTTCTGGTTTCAGTTTTTTTTAAAGTAAATCCCAAAAATTTGATCGAAATGAGTTCAAAAGTTTGTCTAAAGTTCATTCATTTCTTTTCCATGCAGTTTACCTTTCTACTTTACTCTCTACCTTTCTACTTTCTACCTTTCCATCAAGAAAAGCAAAAACAAAAAAAATAGTGATAAATAGTGATCTCTTCTCAATTATACTACACAAGCTTAAAAGCTCAACAATCACTTTTTTTTCGAGACAAGTTTTTTCTCGCCGGTTTTGAATAGCATCGCGGCGCGAACCATTCTCAACCGTTCATCATGTTCTCTTAGAACATCTACTCGTCATTTAAACGTTGCTTTCCTCAGAGGGGTCGACGTTTACACCTTCATTTCGCTTTAGCAGAACAATTCTTTTTGTTGTGTTTTCTCTTTCGAGCGTAAAGCTTTTGGCTACTCGGGAATGATTTGCCACGCTCAAGGTGGGGTAGATTTAACTTGATTTCTTTCATTCATTTCCTTTCCATGCATTTTACCTTTCTACTTTACTTTCTACCTTTCTACTTTCTACCTTTCCATCAAGAAAAGCAAAAACAAAAAAAAATAGTGCTATTGAAAGTGATCTCTTCTCAATTTTTTTTCTTTTCTTTGGATAAATTAAATTTTCGGTGGGAATTGAGGTCAAAAAGATGAGAATTGACAGCTCTATTTGTCGGGAGGAAAAAGAGAAATCCATGCATCTATTTTTCTTTTCAAAAAAATTCCCATTCCACTTGATTTTACTCTATTTTTGAGAAAAGGTTTTAAAATAATGAGCTTACTTTGTCAAAATCGAATAATCCATCTTTATCATACTCATACAAAACATCCAAGAGCTCGTCTTTTTCGTTTGGACGCATGTCAGTGGCCTGAAGTTTGAGCATTTCTCTAATTTCAGTGGCCTGAAGTTGCCCATTTCTCTGATACTATTGTTAGAAACTTCATAAGGTTTACAAAATCCATAATTGCTTCTTTAACTCTCACTTACCATGTGAACTTTCTGTGTGATGAGTGCTGTCGGTACTTGGATTTGAGATAATGGTGGGCCTTCTTCGAATGGTTCCAATTCGGGAAGACACTCGAATAATTCCATTGCTTCATCCATACCAAGGGTATCTAAATTCTCTAAATTCCCAAGCCTGAGCCAGAGCATGTGAGCCAGCCAGAGCATGTGAGCCAGCCAGAGCACTGAGCCAGCCAGAGCCTGAGCCAGCCAGAGCCTGAGCCAGCCAGAGCCTGGCCAGCCGGGCCTGAGCCAGCCAGAGCCTGGCCGCCAGGCCTGGCGCCAGGCCGAGCCAGCCAGAGCCTGAGCCAGCCAGAGCCTGAGCCAGCCAGAGCCTGAGCCAGCCAGAGCCTGAGCCAGCCAGAGCCTGAGCCAGCCAGAGCCTGAGCCAGAGAGTATGCGCTTGTTGGAGTTCAAAGTACGGCTGAGCTTCTGCTAGAATTTGATCCTCACTTTCTGAGCTTTAATCTAGTTTTCGTGTTCAACAATTCTAAAGATATTCAACTAAAACCTAAAAGCTTTCTATTAAAGATATTCAGCTAAAGCAAAGATAAACAGATTCCTCAAAAAGTCAAAAGCCTTATCTTCAAATCTCTCAAGTTTTTTCAATAGCTTTTTTCATGTTTTTGTGAATTGTTTCCTTGAAAAGCTTTCCAATTTCCTTCAATAATCTCAAAAATTTACTTTTCTTCTTTCAAATGAACACTTTTTCAATTAAAGTTCTCTAGAAAAAGTTCATGAAAAGAAATTCGGTCAATCTCGCATTTCTCGAGAAAAGTTCCTCATTTTTCTTTTTTGTTCTGAATTAACTTTGGTCTGTTGATGCTTGGATGTGCATATGTAAGTGAAGAAGAAAGAGTAAGGAAAAGCGAGAATGGAATTATTTTGGATGGATGATTTGAGGAGAGAGATTCCCTGGAACTGGAGAAGTGAAGTTGAAGTTCTTCAAATTGAAGTGAAGCTCTTCAAAGCAATATAGAAAAATGTGCTGTAGGTTTCGATTGTTTAACTTCAATTTTCACAAAAGGTTCATCAATGGTTCATCAAGCTAATTTTCAATCAAAGTCTCGTTAGTCCGCGTTTACTTTTTCACTTCACTAGATCCCATTCTAGTTTAACACCATAATTGTTTGATTTTAGTCTAGAATCAGTCTTTTATCAGCTTTTATCAGCTTCTAATTACTAAAGTTGACAGCATAAGTTTTGACACATCTACGATTTCTACAAAACCCACAATATGCTGAGATTTCTTTTCAATTTCTTCAGTTTCACTATGAGAAAACTGATCGTCGTTTTATTTATTTGGATTTACCGGATTCAAATAAAAGAAGAGAACGTTCAAATAAAAGAAGAGATCATCAATCGATTTAAAAGACAAGAAATTAGTTTTTGTCATTGTTAGACACAAAGTTGATCTTGAGACGCCGAGAAAGATGAGCGTTTTTGAGTTTTTGATGACTACAAACATGTCATAACGTTAAACAAATGAAGGGTTATATTTAATTATATTTAATTATTTTTAATTAAGTTTATTTAATAAATCAAAAGCCAGCTTTTCTCAAGTTTCAAATAGAAATTTTCGAATAAAACTGGAACAAAAATGAGATTTTTTTGGTGGGTGCTCTATTATTTTATATGTAAATATTCTTCTTAAACCAATAAACCTTCAATCTAGCTATTATTTTTTACCGTAATCTCTTTAACGATCGATATTTTAGTTGTGATTGAACTGACCCTCTTTCCGTGGCCACATCTCTTCCCATTGAACGGGCGTTTTCCCGGCACAAGCCACCAAATCAAAGAATTTTCTGAAAAAAAAATGACTTTACATTTGGTCTATTAGATCTAGATCTATTATTAGCTTTGAAAATGAGATCTTTTATCTAAAAAGTTTAGTCGAATTGCCTGACGAATCACTTTTTTTGGCCAACAAAGAAAAAGCGTCATTTCCAGATGTCCGACAGGAAAACGGGGGTTTCATTTTCGAAGAAATTTCTTCAAATTTTTCAAAAAAATATTTAATACGCGTCATTTAATAATCATCATTTAATAATTTAATAATTAATAATCGTCATTTAATCATTTAATACCCGTATTACGAATTTAATACGTAATACGCTTATTCAATTTGCATTTGCATTAAACCAAGTTTGATCCTCTAACTCTAAAATAGATTTTACAAATTTTTTTGTAAAATCTGTAAAATTTTTTTGTAAAATATAGATTTTACAAATTTTACAAAATTCCAGCTGACTTTGTGTAAAAAGGGAAGGGAAATATCCATAAGGGATAGATGGGTCTCCTGGGAGAAATATTAAATGAGAAAAAAGGAACAAAATAAACATACTGAGCAAAAGAAGGAAGATAGCCAAAAAAAAGTGTCAACACGAGGAGATTAGGGGAAACGCTTTCAGTAACCTGTTTCTCAGTGTATTTTGGGCTCAAGTTGTAAAAATAACCCTTCTGGTGTACTAATTCTTCATTTTTTTGCGAACATTGAGTTTCGTGACTTTTTGTGCGTTCTCTCCATGTCTCTCGGAAGAAAAAGCGACGTCTGGCGCACAGCCTCGGAAAGAGGCGACCGAAAATGCTCCACTCCCGGTTTAATTACCCAAGTTTTTTTGTGTAATTACGGAAATGCACAAAAACCGTTCGGCCGGTTTAATTAGCCAAGCGTCGTGTGCCAGAAAGCAAGCGGTTGTGAGAACGCATAAAGAACACGAGATTTCGTTGTGTTTCATTTACTTTTGATTTTTGATCTTATTTAGTGGACTTATGAATCCCAGCCTTCTCATATTTCAATCTTTCTTACCTTTTCGTGATTTTTCCACTCTTTGATCCAACGATTTTCGTGAAAATCACCTCGAATTCCTCCGGACTTTCACATTGAAGCATTTTAAGTTAAAAGTTTTGTGGAAATATAGAAAGTATTTACTTTATTATGCCGAAATATAGAAATCTAAACGCTCTGTATCCATTGCCAAAAAGTCCTTTTCTTCTTTTGTTGTCATAGAAACGATGGGTTGCGTTTTAGCTTTCGGCTTTTGAATGTTAGGCTTTAAGCTTTAGCTTTAGCTTAAGCTTTAAGGCTTTAAGCCTCTACTCTAGTTAGATGTGATTATTCTAGTTAGATGCCAGTTTAACTCAAGTTTACAAAGTTCGTTCACTATTTTGTAAGATTCAGATCAAAGAGCAATCAATTTTTCTCTCCAAAACTGACAATGAGTCCATTTCCGGGAATTCTTCAGCAAAAAAACAAAGAGATAAAGCTAAAGGCGACAATTAAAATGGAGAGTTTTTTGTTCTTAATACTTTTGATGGGACTAAATGAATTAAAAGTATTGGTTGGGAAAAGGGAAGGGAAAGGAAGGGAAGGGAAGAGAAGGGAAGGGAAGCGTCAGTCCATCAACAGGCTAACGAGAGGTCAACTTTGAATAGAAAAAAAGGAGAAGGGGAAGACAAGCACCCATCCAAAACAGGAAAATTGAGGAAAAGCGGGGAAAAGAAGGGCAAAAGGTGCCATTGATGGGTAATTTTTGAAGTTTTTGAGGGGACACTTGAGGTCTCTTTTGAGGTCTCTTTTGCTCCTTTACATTCACCGGTTCACTCCACTCTCGTTTTCTGATATTTCGGGCTTTGTCCATATGTTTTACTTTGATTCTAAATGTAATTGATTGGAGGGAATTATTTTTTTAATCTTATCGAAGAATGCTCACCCCACCTCAAGACTTTCCATTTCCTTCTACTCTAATCTCTAAGCTGTAATCTCGCAAATCTGTAATTTCCCCTTTGACATTTCCATTCAAATCTTGTAGTCATTTTGTTTTACTTTTGAAACTTTTTTTAGAGTTCTGTTAATTGTTTTCCTTCTGAGATCGGATCAATCAAAAGCATTGAGCTCAAAGCTAAAAGATTTCCTGATCTAGAATAGTTTGATAGCTTTACTTTCCTCCAAAAGACTTTTGCTATTTATCAATTCATAATTTCACAGATCTCCGTCATAGATTCCTTTTTTTATACTTCCTAAAATCATTTTCAAAGTTCCTATTTTAATTTCCCCAATTTTACCTTTTTAGTCAAAATTTATGGAGTAGACCGGAAATTTGAAGTGAACCGATTAGAGGGAAAAAATTCGATCTCTTTTCGTTTTCTTTAACTTTTCCCTTTCTTTTTAGCTATTCATTTATTAGAGTTACAATTTTCATGGGAAAAAATCGACTTTTGAGAAAACATCATTTTGAGATAAAGTCTATTGTGCAGCTCTGAATTCTTGCCATCTATCAAGCTTCAGCTTCTGCTAAAGTTTCTCAAAATTTTCTCGGTATTGTTGTCATTTTGCTCATTGTCTTATCGGACTTTCAGAAGCAGTATCGACTTTCAGAAGCATTTTTTGGTTTTTCGAAAAAAAAATCTTATCGAAATTCACAGCTTATCCTCTTAAAGAACGTCAAAAAAAGTAAAAAAAGTAAAAAAAAAAGCCAAAAGAACGGACGAGGGAAAGTAAATGAAGCTAATTTATAGTAGAAAAGAAATATTTTCTTCTTGATCATATGGTTTCTTTTTTTTTTGGAAACTCTAAGCATAATCTTTAAAAAAATAGCTCATGATTGAAAGGAAAATTGTATTTTTCTTTTAAAAACAGAACATTTTTGAATCGAATTGTGAATCGATTCATTCAAAATGATCAAAATTATCTTTTACTTTTTACTTTTTACTTTTTTCAGTTATTTTTTCCTCAATCGCTACTTTTATTACTCTTTTTCTTAAATAAAATAAAATAAATAATAAAATCCCGATTTCCAGAGATGTTCACGAGTATATTATACGAAAAAGATTGCTATCCGGAGTACGCGAATGAGAATATCTCACAATTGGTCGTGACATGGATGGGACAAAGATGTCCATCAGTAAGCTCATCAATTTCTCTTCTTTTCTCATTTCTCAATTCAAAGTCTTGCTCAATTCAATTTCAGCCATCAATCATGTATCCAACAGTTGTCATTTACAGTCTCATTCTATTTTTGGGACTCGTCGGAAATGTTTGCACGTGTATTGTCATTTTCGCGAATAAGGTTTGCCTCAAATCAATCAAATAAATGAGTTTTCTTTAGAATATGCACAATCCAACGAATTATTATTTGATAAGTCTGGCACTCAGCGATCTCTTGATATTGATATTGGGTGAGTATTTTCATTGATCTATTAGAATTACACTGTGGTGCAAAAGTCTTGTCCCACTTTCTGAAACATTTTGTCAAAATTCTAAAAATTTTCGAAAACAACTTTTTAAGTAAAGGGGTTTTTCTGAACCCTAAGTTGTAAGCTTTCATATAAAAAAGTTTTTAGATTTTAAAAATCTATTACCTGAAATCTATTACCTAAAAGAAAATAACAAATAAAGTTTAAAATCAAAAAAATATATGGTGCAAAAGTCTTGTCTCACCATTAAAAAAGGAAAGCTAGATTAATATTTGGTCGGTCCTCCTTTAGCCAAAATCACTGCTTGAATACGTTGAGGCATTGAATCGACCAAAGCACGTAGAATTCCCGAAGAAATTTGCCGCCAAACGCTTCTGACAAAGAACCAAAGCTCGGCCTTTGTGTTGAATATCTTGCCCCTGAGTGTAGTCTTTAAATGGGTCCAAAGATGCTCTATAGCATTCAAATCCGGGGAATAAGGAGGCACTTTGATCAATTTTACACGATAAGCAGCAAAAAGGCCGGGTAGGTGAGCTCTTTCTCCATTTGCAAGCCGGACAACTCGGCCCATCATTAGCTGGCTTTTGTGGCATGGAGCGTTGTCTTGATATAAGGCCCATCCTTGTGGCATGTTCGTGTTTGCAAATGGAAGTAAGTTGTTCTCTATGATTGACTTGTACCTTTGAGCATCGAGATGTTTTCGATAAATTTTAGAATTTTGACAAAATGTTTCAGAAAAGTAAGTGGGACAAGACTTTTGCACCACAGTGTATAATTTTCATGGGAAAATGTTGACTCATGATTTTCAGAAAAAGTACACCTAAACCTAAGCCGGTTTAGGTGTACTTTGTGCTCAAAAAATAGAAACGCACATTTGCTAACATTCAAGTATTCATGATCAAAAGATAAAATAGATAAAAGCTAATAGATAAAAGTAGTGAGAACGGCAGAAAGTTCAAGAAAAGCATTTAAAAGAATGTTCTTTGTGCGTTCCTGTAAACGCGCGCCTTCTGACACACGAGAACTGGGGTACTCCCGGCCGTCCCTATCGGATTGGCTGACGCTGAGGGGTATTCTCAGCGGTCCCTGTTCAGGGCAATGTGCCAGAAGCCGATTTTTGTCATGAGAGACAGGGAAAGAACACACAGTCGCTCAGTAATGTATTACGGTTCGAAATATTTTACTTTCTTGGCACCTTTTTTCTTTTACCTTTCTGACCACAAAGTACATTCTTTAGAAGAAATTTTACATGAAAATTTGATTATGAATTAAAGGTCTTCCAATGGAACTTTACATGATCACCGATTTCAATTACCCTTATCGTTTCCCGGAGATTGTATGCAAATCGCGAGCTTTTCTCGTCGAATTCACTTCATATGCGTCGATTCTCATCATTTGTCTGTTTTCCGTGGAACGATGGATTGCTATTTGGTGGGTTTTAGAGGGAATTCTGGGCAAATACAAGCCAATCGAGTCGTCTCGCTTTGACACTTTGAACTCTCACAAACGCCTGCTCTTTGGCGCACTCTTTTAGTGACAGTGCCAGAAACCGCGCGTTTCTGAGAGCCTAGTGAGAGTCGGTTATTTTAGTGGTAAAATCATGATCAAAAATCGATTTCCACTTTCAGTTTCCCCTTGAAATCTCAACTTTTCTCCGGGAATTCGCGTTCGATGATCCTCATCTCGATTTGTTGGTTTCTTTCTTTTCTTTTCTCACTTCCCGTTGCTTTTGTTGTTCGAATCAACAAAGTGCCTCTACCCGATTTTGCTCAGAATAAACCCTGGACACATTTGGTGAGTTGTTAAAGAAGAGTATAGTTGGAACTAGGGCAGATCAAAAATTTGGGCGCATGCTCGAACCTCATTGGAACCGTATTGGAACCGTATTAGATCAAAAAAGAACCGTATTGGAGCCGCAGACTCGAACCTGCGACTAAAAACATCCATCTATGCTGTTTTTAAGAGAGATTATCATCGAATAACCTTGCCTGAGCAGTTAACAGTTGCCTTTTAGCATTTGAGACTTCTACATCTTTGCCCTGTCAAAAAGTTAATATGCAAATTGATTGGAACGGCAGATCAACAAGCGTTGCCGGGACTCGAACCCGCGACCCCTTGCTTACCGGCCAACTGAGCTAACTCTTACACCACAATGCACTTGACTCCCCTCACTCCAGTGGGAGTTAAGTGTATTGTCTTTAGTAATATCTGTGAAAATTGTCGAATTGGTTTCCCATTTAGGTTTCCTCAGACAGTGAAACAATCGATCGAACTGAATTCTGTGCAATGGATATCAATGATTTAAAGAATCAGAAAAAGATTATATATTTTGCCTTTTTCACTTTCTTTCTGATTCCAGGTTAGATCTAAACTCGAAAATATTTACATTTTCATTTTCATTCTCATTCAGCAATTATAATCACAGTAATGTATGGACATATTGCGGTAAGAATGCACAAATCGGAAACACTTTTGGGAGCTGAGAAATCGGGACCGAGCAATAAGAGGAGTGTGCTCAAAGTGCTGGGTGAGTGAGAAAGAATCTAATTTCTTTGACTGTTTAAAAAAAGAGAGTTCGGTTTCTCCAATAGACAATGATCCAATAGCCGTCCCAAGTTCAAATCCATTGATGGATTTGAACATCGATGGATTTGAACTCCAAGAACTCTCCAAGAACTCCAAGAACTCCAAGAACTCTCCAAGAACTCAAGAACTCAAGAACCTCCTCCAAGAACTCATTTTCAGTTTCCGTAGTGATCACATTTTTTCTCTTTTGGCTTCCATTTCACATGCAGCGATTATTATCAATATTTTTGAATGAAAATCAAGCGCAAGCTTCAACGACAATTCAATCCATTTTCACATTGGTTTTTTATATATCAGGTTGGTGAGTGGTTGGATGAAAGCTGGAAAGAAGTCATGTAAACTGCAAGAAATGATCTTATCAATGATCCTATCAATGATTTATCTTTTCAGGCTATTGTTACTACTCAAATTCTGCTTGTAATCCAATTCTTTACAATATTTTCTCCACCAAATATCGTTTGGCGTTTTGTCGAACGATTCTCGGAGAGAGATTGACGAAAAAATTCTGTCCGAGCTTCAAATCAGAGAGGAGTTTTTTAACGCAAAGGTGAGAAATGAAAGAAAAGAAATTAAAAGAAATCAATAGAAATCAATAGAAATGAAAAGAAATGAAAAGAAATCAATAGAAATGAAAAGAAATGAAAAGAAATGAAAAGAAATCAATAGAAATGAAAAGAAATTAAAAGAAATCAAAAGAAATCAAAAGAAATCAAAAGAAATGAAAAAAGAAATAATTTCTTCAAAGAAACAACTCAAATCTTTTCTAGACATGTGTGAAGAGGACGAGATTTTTAAAAAGAAAGGTAAAATTAGAATTGATTCAAGGGAGGAAGTTGAGCGCAAAATTTGCACAAAATTTTGTAAACACCATTCTGGTGGACTCAATTTTGAGCGTAAAGTAAACTGGAGGTTTTTTTGAAGTTAAAAACAAATGATCCTCTTGATCTTTTTGATCTTTTTGATCCCATTTCTGCATGTTCTGTTCTGCACTTTCATCAAGAAATCTTTTCCACACAAAATCTATAAATTTCTACTCTTCTAATACGCATTTTTCAAATTTCAAATAAATTTCAAAGTTATTGATGGCTTAATTGCATAAAGTTTACTTTAAAATGATATTGTAAAGTCATGCTTTGAATACTGTATCGAATTTTTCAATATAGTAGACAATTACGGTATTTTCTTACACTTAATGGGTTCTTTATATATGTCGTAGCCGATTATGAATGAAATTTTTTGGCAAATCTTTCTAGTAGAGCAACCCTTTAATGTATGAGGACAATATTATATCATCTTGTAGCGAATTCAATTCTGCGTCGATTGGTACCAAATTTGTGAGTTTAGGTTAAAAATTGCCGGCACTACAACGTTTCATTCAAAATCGGCTGGACCCCCGTAGCCGATTATGAATGAGTGGGTCTAGGAGCGTCCAACCATCAAGTATTTAGTATCATTCAACGCAGAATCATTGATAATTATGTTAAATTTTTAAAATTAGCAAGATTTGATGAAAAGAAAAAAAATTAGAGCAAAAAAACTGTTTGTTCAAGAGAAAACTTTGAAGCCCCATAATTTGTGTTCTTCTCATCAAATCTTGCTAATTTTAAAAATTTAACATAATTATCAATGATTCTGCGTTGAATGATACTAAATACTTGATGGTTGGACGCTCCTAGACCCATTCATTCATAATCGGCTACGACATATAAATGAGTTCTTTTTATTGAAAACTTTTGACATAAAAATATTGAATAGTACTTGAAATTAAACCTTGACTGATCTACTACTAATATTAGCCTTAAATACATGTACATTGGATTAACAATACCAGTTCTTTGTACAATGAATTAACAATGCCAGTTCTTTTAAAGGACCCCTAATTACTGGTACTGGATGTGTCAAGGCTTTAGTTAAAGAATTAGTAGAATAGAATTCTAAAGTTTGCATAGTATGACAATTGTGGTAGTACTGTAAGTGTAGTATTTAAAGCAATGTTAGTCTACTAAGTGCTCAGAGCATGATTCAACTCTCCTCACCCATCCCAATCGAATCTCTTTCAGTTATCGCGCAAATGCAATGTCTCGTTTCTCTTCCCTCCACCGTACTTCATCTCGTTTTTCCGAAGCTGCTCATTTGCGAAGATCGAGAAGAGAAAAGGGTGAAATGGGCGGATCATCAACTCCCATCCCAGCATTGAGAAGAATTTCTTCCGATCCCCAATTCTCACTTAAAGTACCAGAATCTTCTGAAGAGATGAGACCAGTTTCCTCGAGTCAAGCCTTTCTTTAAGAGATTCTTTATTCATCATCAACTAACTTATTTATCTACAATGGTTAAAATGAACTAATCTTTCAAATGTTTGTTTCGTTCTTCTTTGTATCATATCTAATCATTGAATATTCTCCTTTGATTCGCGATCATTTTCTTCTAAATACGGGTTTCTCAAATAAATATCTCGACTTTGACTGTAAATTTACATTTGAAACATTGAATTCTGAAACTTTTATGCATTTTTGACAAAGATCAGCCGCCTTTTTTCCTTGATTTCTCGCTGAGAACTGTCAAACCGAGGTGTGAAGTTGTCAATCATCGAAAAAAAAATCGGGAAAATTACAGACAGACAGCGATGAATACGATAATTTATCGATTTACGATAATATTTTGAGAGATTCGTTGTTTGAAAGAGGTAGAGGAGAGAGTGTGCTGTCTCTTGTAGGAAAAATCCGCTTCTGGCACACTGCCTGGGATAAGGCGGGTCGGAATGGCTCCTCGGTCGGTTTAATTACCCAAGTTTCGTTTACCAGCTGGCGCGCGATTATGGAAAGCCACCAAGAATATATACTACCGTAAATACTGCAATAGTAGCCCATCCCCTCGTACAGTCGCGTAGTCGCAAAAGTTTTTAGTATTTCATTTTTTTCAAAGCGCCCGTACTTTCAAAAAATGCGTCTTTGGTATCAAAAAATAGCTGAAATTCAGGGCTATTTTTTGATACCTAAGCGCACATTGTAGCATAAACCAGTGTCGAGAAAAACTCCGTTCAAAGCTAGACTACGCAACACTCCGCACCGTCATTATGGGGGTGGGGTACTAATAAAGTATTTACAATAGCTCAAAATTAAAAGCTTTATTTATACTAAAGATCACATCTATTTTCCCGAATATTGGTGATGTTTTGTGATTGGTAAAGAAACAGATCAGTTCTATTTGTAAAGGAGGGAAAATTTGTGAGTGGATAGGGGAAAGGGGAAGAGCGAGAGGGGAAGAGCGCTATGAAAAGGTAAATATTGTTTTTTTTGAAGGGAAAAGAGAACGAAAAATGAATGAATCAAGGTCTGGTTGCTGTTTTTTTCTTGACTATCAATGATTTCTCTTTTCAACTCAATTCAATTCTCATTCTTAGGCTAAACTTGTGATTGGTCCAATTTCCAATTTGTCCAATTTCCTCCACTTGATCGTAATTGCTTTGAGTGCAACGGAAACACATCCAATCTAGTGCACTTAATTCTTCATTTTCTCATTTTGTTGCAAAAAAAACAAGGATCGAGTGCACTAGAAAGGGTGCGTTTCTATTTTTGAGTAAATGATAGAAAGAGAGGCACAAGAGAGTTCAATAAAGATTCTCCAGCCCTTTCCAACTCTAATTACTCCAATTCAATTCCTCCAATTCAATTCCTCCCGCTTGATCGTGAGAATCGTAATACTTGGCTGTGAGAAAGAAAATAACAAACCAAAAAAAAAAACAAAAACACTTTCACGATTGTTAGTTCTTTTTTCGCAATTCCCCAAATTTTCAAAAGTTGCTCTTTCCTTTTTTTATCGTCTATAAACGTTGGCCAAATCAGATTCTCGCAATCCACTGAAAAATCCCCTTTCAAAGAGTCTTTTTCACGGCTTTTTACCTCAAAGATGCCTAAAATATAGGGGTTTTTTTTCCGAAAATTTCCCATCGAACATTCCCCAAAAAATCGCTTTGACAGGTTCTACCGGAAAATTTCCTTTTCAAGTTCAGTCATTTTTTTTCGTCGAAAGACTCAAACAATTGTCGGATCATCGAAATTCCCCGTGACAAGTCCATGGGAAATTCGCTTATTTTGAATTTTTTGGGATAGAGTGACTTTTTTGTGGCTGTCTGCTGCCCGCTCGCTCACCGATCCCACTCGCTCGCCCCTCTTGACGGATTCCAAAAGGCAAGCACCGTATACCAGAAGCTTTGCCAGATGGAGAATGATTGTGCGCGTGCACAATCATTCTCCATGACAAAGAACACCTCTCTTAACCCTTAAAGATCTCCTCTTTTGCTTTGTAGATGATGCAAAAAAAAGAAATTAAGCTGTAAATTTGTACCCGGGGGTTTTCGTGGTCGGAGAATCGATTGCCGGGGTTCATTTTATTGATTTCTCAAGTGAAACATTGATCTGAATGCCTCTTTATGTTTCAGGTCGGAGAATCGATTATAATAATAATCAAATCTGAAAGCTAAAGTCTGAAAGCTCACAAAATCCATTTGATACTTACTACGCGTTGAAACTTTGAACAGTTCATTTCTCTAAAAGTTCATTTCATTTCCCAAAGTTACCCGAGCGTGTCACATTTTACGTATCATCATTTCAATCTTTATCTTTTCAAAAGGTCATTTCTAATCGAATTACGAGATAAATCACTGGGAAGACTTGTAAAAAATCGAATTTTAAAGTTTAACAATAAAAATATTCAGTTAATCACCGAGAAAACGGGTTTTGATTTAAACATTTGATTTGAGAGGAAATGAAAGGAAATTATCAGAAAGATCTGGGGGTGGGACAAATGCGACCTTTTTTTGCTGGAAAAGGCCTTAGGAAAGGTCGTAGAGCTTCAAAAATATTTCCATAGAAGGGAATCTTATGTGTAGATTCCGAATTTCGACAAATTTGACGTGTCAGCGAGGTCTGATTTGTCGAAATTCGGAATCTACGCATACGATTCCCTTATGTGGAAATATTTTCGAAGCTCTACGGCCTTGCCTAAGGCCTTTTCCAGCAAAAAAAAGGTGCGCAAATGTCCAGATGCGCAAAAAAAAGGTCGCGTTTGTCCCACCCCCGTTAAGACTCGAATTTTAAAGTTTAACAATAAAAATATTCAGCTAATCACCGAGAAAACGGGTTTTGATTTAAACATTTAATTAGAAAGGAAATGAAAGGAAATTATCAGAAAGATCTTTCATTTTTTTCATTTTTTCATTTTTTTGTCAATTTAGCCATGACTTTTCTGTCAGATCTTTTTTTTTTAAAAAATCTATAAAATTTGAAGAATTAGTTTCAAATTTACTCAATTTCTGAAAAATTTAGACTCTTTGTGCTCTTGTTTTCAATTTTTATATTATAAATGGACTGTGAGTTGAAAAATTTACTACAATATCTGTCATTTTCCATCGAAAAAAAACCCACGTTGACCTTGAGGGGTTCTTTGGTGATTTTTCCCGGATTTCTTTCACTTTTCTTCAATAGAAAGACGATAAAATATGAGGGGAATATTGTATCGAATGGGAAAAAGAAAAAGAATCAGATCAACTAGGAAGTCGGAAATAACAGAAATAACAGAAATAAAAGTTCAAATATGAGCCCTATAGAATGTGTTCTGGACATTCACTCAATTGATTCCTTTGTGTACTTTGGCACTCAAACGCAATCTCTCTGGAGCACACAATTAGCAATTTTCTTGTAAAAACTAAGCTTTTATGACTCTCGAAAACTAGAGGGGCCGGTGTGCGTTTTTTCCATGTCTCTCGTAAGAAAAACCGTCGTCTGGCACACTGGCCTGAATAAAGACGCCCGGAAAGCTATCTCGGTCGGTTTAATTACCCAAGTTTCGTGTGCTGGGAAAGCGTGATTATGTACCCAGAAAACTCATGATCAACAGAATGTCTGCGCCAGAATGATTGTGTTTCCATTCCTGAGCTCAAAGTGTATCACAAAAAAAGAAGTCTAGTCTACTTATTGCATGGATCGTTTTCCCATTTCACTGCTATTTTCCCGAAAGTGTGATCGGATTGCCCAAAAAAAGGGAGTGAATGGGCGTGAAATTGATGATACTTTGTGCAAAAGTCAAAAAAGGAAAAAAAAAGTGAGAATCATTGGAGATTCCCCGTTTTTCGTGTGTTGTATGAAATTGGGAAAGGATTTTTTTTTCGGCGCCTATTCAAAACGATAACTCGATTTTTATCGTGGTTTGCTTTTTGAAAAATTCGAGGATTCTTTTCTTTCGTTTTGAATGGTTCTTTCTTTATTCTTTCTTTATTCGCCGAAATTTTCTAGTCGGATTCAAGAATTTTTATCTAAAAAAATAGTAAACGCAACTTTTCTTGGCTTGATTGAATTCTGGAAAGCTGAAAGAAGAGTTTTTCTTTATCTTTCAAGCTTTTGATCATCTGAATCTGATGCTTTTGATTAAACTGATCATCAAAACCGGAATCTCAATAAAAGTATTCCTAAATATTAGGCAATCAGGTCAATCAGATTCATTTCTCAAATATCTTAGCCTATCCTAGCCTATCTTAGCCTTGTCTTAGCCTTGTCTTAGCCTATCTTAGCCTATCCTAGCCTATCCTAGCCTATCTTAGCCTATCTTAACCTTTCTGATATCTTAGCCGTTTATGAAGTAAGAGAGATTCTCTAAAAACAATTCTAGCAAAGTTTTGATGCAAAATAGTCACATGTACCTATAATGTTACGCAGAAAAAGAGCTTTGCCTGTTTTTCTCAGCGTTTCCCCTAAAAAATAGCCCAATTCTTTACGTTGTTCTCTTCTTTTCTTTCTCGATCTCTAATTGGTGTCAACATGTCTCTTTTTGGGAAAGAAAAAAAGCAGAGCTCCAAAGCTTTTCTCCAAAAAAAGGATTGCGACATTTTGTGGAAGGACCCTTCAATGGATTCACTGAATATCTCTTTTCTTTTCAAAAAGCAATCATATTTTTCCTCTCTAAAAACCTTTTGTCACTTTTTATGAAATATGAAATTTTTGAGCAGAAAAGTTGAGTTTTCGAGTGTTTTTACGATTCTGATCGATGAAAATTTCAGAAGATCGATTCTTTGTGAGTATTTTTATGAAAATTACTATATTTTTCTTGCAAAAACAAATCTATGTGGACTGAATTGGATCAGGAGATCAGGAGATCTCCCCAATTTCCCTCAAGAGTTTCTATTTTGGGAAACTGCAATTACCCACAAAAATCTATACAGTTTTCAATGAGAGACTTAAAATTCAATTCTAGCTTTTTTTCCAATTTATGAATCCCGGGAGAGTTTTCAAAACTAGTTGCGTTTTCAAAACTAGAACTTCAAAACTTTTAAGCTGAATACTTCTGCAATGGAGAACTCGGGCAGATCAAAAACTCTTGCGCCACCGGGACTCGAAACCTCGACCTTTCGCTGTGCTAACCATTTCACCACAATGCATCTGATTCCCCTACTCCAGAGGGAGTTAAGTTTAGCTCATTTTCTCACCTTAAGCCCTTTTTGTAAAAATGAAAAGCTACACGTAAAATCTGATTGAATTTCCGTTTTGACGAGACAAAGCCGATTGTGCTTGTGAAGAAGAGAAGGGACAAATTGAGGGGGGACTTTCACTAATTTTCTCCCAACTGAAATACGAGATTTTTCTAGTGATTCAATTCTTTACCGATCTTTGACTCAAACAAAAATTCTATTTCCTTTTTGAGATTTCTGAATGTCAAAATGAATGTTTTTATGCAAATTAATTGGAATTTTTGAGGGATAGAAGGCTTTTTCAGGCTATTTTTCGGGTCTGATTCGTACAGGTGAAAGGATTTCGGATAATATAAGCTTAAAAGCTTTTATTAGCAAAAAGGAAGCAGATTTATGAGCTTCTAGATAAAAATGGAACTAGATCTGAAGGACAACTCTAGGTGTCCGTTCTTTCCATGTGTCTCGTAGGGAAAAGCGGCGTCTGGCACACTGCCCTGGATAAAGACGCCCGGAAAGCTACCTCAGGCGGTTTAATTACCCAAGTTTTGCGCCAGAAGCCGCAAGGAGCAACAAATGCTTAAGCAACTTAAGCAACAAATGCTTTAAATGATTTTCTTTTGATTCTCCTTCCTTTATATTAGGTTGGCCGGAAAGTTCTTTCCCTTTTTTTGACGCTAGATCTAACTTTTTATTTTACGCATCAAAAACGCCAAATAAAAAAAACAGAATTTATCTACTCGAAATATTCACCGTCAACATCAATAAAATCCAGCCACTTATCCGACAACAAATAGATTCCGCGGCGGTAAAACTCACATGGCTTCGAATCGAAAAACTGAGTGAGTGAGTGAGTGACAAGCGCACCATCGGACTATCATCTGTTCAGGTATTTTGTCCAGAATCGTCCGATTATCATTTTTTTCAGTTCTCTGGAGCATCATTTGCGTGGAAAAATCTTTCAAAATGTCGAGGAAATGCGCTTGTCACTCACTCAGTTTTTCGATTCGAAGCCACGTGAGTTTTACCGCCGCGGAATCTATTTGTTGTCGGATAAGTGGCAGGATGTTATTGATGTTGACGGTGAATATTTCGACTAGATAAATTCTGTTTTTTTATTTGGCGTTCTTGATGCGTAAAATAAAAAGTTAGATCTAGCGTCAAAAAAAGGGAAAGAACTTTCCGGCCAACCTAATATTTTGATCTCCTGTTCAATGTGTCGTCTTGAAGCAAAATGATGTGCTGTTTTTTCTTGCTTTACCCCCTAAATTTCCTCAATTCTATCATTTTTCCGCTTCAGAAGCATAGAAAGAGACGAAAAAGGCCCCTCAAGGCCTCAATTTGTCCCTTTTCTCCCATCATTTTTCTCTTTTTCCTTCAAGAAAACCAACTGTTGTCAAAGATCGAGAAATTTTCAACAGAAATGACCACAAGAGTTTTTCATTTTGTTTTTCTCATTTCATTTTTGAGAGTGAACAAGTGAGATCTCAATGTTTCACGATCGTATTTCAACGTCTTTTCACTGTTTTCTGCGATTTTAACTTTAACGATTGGCTTTGATTCTTCTATTTTGCATCTTTAGGATCTTTAGGATCTTTAAGATCTTTAGGATTCTATTTTAGATCTTTAGGATCTTTAGGATTCTAATTAGGATCTTCTAAGTACAACAAATAGCATTAGAATCTCTACTAGAATCTCTACTATCATTTGCTCTGAAACTCTTTCGGTTTTTATTTTCTTTTCTTTCATATTTTCATCATCGGCCATTTTCGCCAAATAAACTTTTATTGCTTTTTCAGATATTAGATATCTCTCATTCTCATATTAGAATCAACTGAGAATTCTTTTGAAAACTTCAAAAAAGATCTTGATATTGAATACTCACAAAATAAATCTTTTAAATTCAATTCCAAAACACCTGATATAGTTTTGCAGTATACTAAATGACTCAAGTTTTTCTTTTTCTTCTTTTTCTTTTTTTTCTTCTTTTTCTTTCTAATACCTTTCACCTGTTTCATTATTTTTAATCAAAAATGAAATGTTTTTAGTTTTCTAGAGTTTCTGTCAATCTAAGTATCTAAGAAACGATAATTCTTAGAAATTTTATTTTAGCTGAGCTGTTTCAGGGAAATTCAACCCAAAAGCTGACCCTCTTGAGATGAAATCGAATAGAAATTGTATAGAAATTGAATAGAAAAACATTTCAAAGGGATATTATAAGGAAATGCTAGAATTTGGATACTTTTCTGCTAGAATCACAATGGATACAGTAGCTCTATAGATAATAGAATTACAGTATCTAATTGCTCATATTAGCGTTTACTTCTTCATGCTTTCCCCTGCCTATTACTTTTTATCGCAACTCTTCTTTTTTCTGTACTGCAACAACTCTGTACTCAATTTTGCTCAATTTCAGAATAAAACCTTGATTCACTTGATTAGATAGAAGTCGACAAAAAGTGAAAGAGATTCTTCTCAAAAATGGGCCAAAGTTTTCTCCGACGACATCTTCTTCTCATATTGACTATAGGTTTGTGGATTTGTGTGTAGTTTTTGTAGAAAAGTTGCACTTACAAAGTTGCACAAGTCAGCTAGACCGGAGAAATGCCTTTGTTAGTCAGTGTTAGTCAGCTAAAACAAGTTGCCTTTGTTAGCACAAGAAAAAGAACTTGATCCACCATGATCCAACCTGATCCACCTTCCAGGCTCTGTTGTGATGGGCATTCTGGTCGGATTCTACCTTCGACGACTCAACCTTGATGCCCAGGTAAAAAAAAAAGAAAAGTTTAGCTCCTTTTTAGCGCCAAGACCCATTTTTCTCCTTAGAAATCCCCTTCCGGGTTAAATTGACTCACACAAAAAATTCTATGATTTATTTGAGTCAGGGAAGGGTTGTGATGGGAAATCCCTTGAAGGAAAAGTTGTAAAATTGAATTTCCCCCGCAATCTTTTCGACATCTCAACAACATCTTTTTGGATTCCGAAAAATGCAGAGAAAACCCAAAAATGACGAGATTCCCCAAGGAAATATGGGCACATCATTGGAGATTCCAGTGCATAAGAAATATTGATGGGAATGCGGCTTTAATTGT